GACGTTGCCGCAGCTCAGGCCTGAGGAAAGCGGAGAAGGGCAGAAATCTTCCTTCCGTCCTGGCCCTGCCCGTCCACGCTCACGTGGCTCCCACGCTCTGAAGCGCGCCCTCGCGGCTTTGCTGTTCTATGAGGGCGGACGCTGCCTCGTGCTCGCACTCGCAGGCCCAATGGGACCCTAGCCTCTCCGGGGGACTCGCGCGCCTCCCCCCCACCCGTCTGCCCGCCGCACTCACACCCCCAAAACACGACACAGGGATCAGCGAAGGTGAGGAGCCCGCGCAACCGGAGCCCTCCAACGTACCGCAGCGGAGCCTCGACGGCGCGTAATAACGCGCCCCCGGCTTCCGCGGGCGCCGCCTCCTGGCCGCGGGGGAGGGAACGCAGAGCGTCCGAGGTCACGGGCGCCGCGCCGCCCCCTGGGGGCCGGAGGACGGAGCCACAACCCACCGCGCTAGACCCGACGGCGGATGCCCGCTGCCGGCCAACTCTTACCCCGCGGGTCAGGACGGCTCGGTTCCACCCGCACCCCAGGGCCCCGCTGACTTTGACTCAGCTTCTCAGTCTGGTAGGAGCAACGCCCAACGGCCGTTACACCGTTCCCACTTCCCAAAAAGCGGTGTAGTGCGCAAGTGAGTGAGAAAGTGGGTCTTTCTGGGGGTGAAGGGAGGGCGGGGCTTGGCGGGGGGCAGGGAGGGGGAATGCAGGCAGGGTGTGGTCCCGCCTCAGCCTCCCTAAGCAAAACAAGGAGCATTCATTTCTCTCAGCCAGGAGAAGAAAAGTGTGGGTCCAGAGTCCCTAAGTCCACACTATCTAAGCCCAGACCAGCTGCTTGGGGCTGCTGGGTGCCAGTAGAGGTATCTTCATGGAGGGTGCGAGGGAGGGGGTCCTCCATTGCAGCCCCATCTTCCTTCCAGGCCCCAGGCCCAGTCACCAAGAAATAAGTTGTTTGGTCCCATGATGGGGAGAGGGGCTGCAGTGGGGCTGGAGAGAGGGAGGGGGTAGGGAGGCCTCTGGGGTGGGAGCAACCCAAACCTGTCAGAATCCACCAATTCACCAGGCCCAGATCCTCCACTCCCTTATGTTCCTGGCATTTCTTCCACAAACACCCCTTCCCCAGCCAACACCCCCTTCCCCGCAAAGTCTGGCCAAGGAGGCTAGGAATGAGGTCTGGTCCTGGAGCCAGAGAGATGCTAGCCCAGGCCTGCACCTCCACTTACCTGCTGGGTGAGCTCTGGCAACTCAGTTCTCTTTGAGCTTCACCTTACTCGCCTGTTTAAAAAAAAAAAAAGCCATTTCTTTCTCTTGGGATTGTCATGAGGACTAGGGAAGACCCTGTGTGTCAAATGTCCACTTGCTGCCAGCACTGCCCCTCACTTCACTCCCAGTCAGAGGGTCCTCAACTGATGAAAGTCGCTTGGATAGTTGACCTGGGAGATCCCTTTGAGGCAACTCCCTAACACTCCCCAAAATTTGTGGGAAGGTTGTTAGAAGGTCGGCTATATGCCCCACAGCATGCTCAGGCCCTTGATTCCTGGGTGTAATGCCCTCCCCAACTCTAAAGCAAAGCAGCGACCTCCTTCGGGAGCCCGAGGAGGCTGCCAGAGGAGGGAACCTGAGCATCAGAAGCAGGCACGGCAGGAACAACAGCATTCCTCCCTCCTCCCAGCACCCAGAGTCCAGGCTCTCAGCCACCGAGGAGACTTCTTCATGAGCTGATCTGGCTGCAAGAGAGGAGCCTTGGAGTTGTCCTGCTCCATCCCCAGCACCTCAGTGGGCCGCTCATCCCACCCTCCTCCAGCGTCAGTGAGCATCAGGACCAACCTTAGCTCCCTCCCCAGCTATCCCAGGGCCGCCCACTGAGTCACTGCCTCCTGCTCCCTCCCACCCCTTCTGCTGCCCACTGTCTGCCCACCTCCACCCACCAGCCAGGCCCCCAAGGAGGGCTAAGAGCTGGGGGGACCTGCTGGCAGGCACACACAGCCCTGCGATGCCGGAGGCAAATAAAGAGACCTCAAGCCACAACCCAGAGCTAACCCCAACACCCCTAGGCACAGGCAAACAGATTAGGGCCAGGCCCTGGTTAATTCATTCCACACAGAATGTGCCTTGTAAGCTGCATGCACACAGAGACTACGTGTTGTCCACTTCTGGACTTTCAGCGATAATAAATGCATAGGGGAGGCCTGAGACTGGTCACATTGTCCCTGCCCTCCTGAGGCTCTCCATCCATGAGCCAGATGTCAGTCAGAGTCACAAATGGACTCAGAGGCTCTGTCTGAAAGGGACACAGAAGAGGCAGAGAGCCACAGGATGCACAGCCCCAGGATGGCAAAGATACAGATAGAAATGGGAACAGACCGCGGCCTAGTGGGGAATACTGGGGGCTGGGCCTGGAGTCAGCCGGGCTGCTGACCACAGCAGGCTCTGTGGGCTGAGATTGCAGGACTGAGCAGTGACTCATGGGGCCCATCTCCGTGGTTCTCCTGGCAGCAGAATCCACTCATAGCAGCCTTTTCCACTGAGATCATAAAATGTGGATGGTCTTCCCTCCCCTGCCCCTTTTCCAACCTTCCCTCACCTTCCCTCAGCCTCCCATTCCTTGCCAATACAAATAAATCAAAGTCAAATGGGAGCTCTCTGCCTCAGTGGGCCTAGTAATACGGGACCTACAGTTACTGCCCTTACTCCATCCCAAATCTTGCATACGCTCTTTAGTACTACCCCAGACAGTGAGGGTGACATATACCCAAACCTTCTGAGCTCTCTCACCTTTGGCCCAAATAAACTCCAAACTCCTTAGTGTAGAATCTAAGGCCATCCAGAGAGGCATCAGATCCTTCCTGTCCAATTCCCATACTGGCCTGGAAGACTCAACTGATTACAAACCTCAGTTAGCCCACCGCTACCTGGAATGCCCACACCCATCTCCCCCTGATGAAAATCCTTCCTCCTTCAAGGGCTGGATGCAGCTCAGGTGGCACTGAAGGCCATTTCTGCCATCTGGCCCAGTCCGGTGGTGACCCACAGATGAGCCCTTGACTTGCTCTCCTGCATCCCAGATGCCTGTCTCCCAGGCACTGTGCTCACTCGCTCTCGTCCCCCAGTCCCCTTGCAGCTGACCCACCCTATCTGCCTGGCAGCCCCACCATTCTTAGTTGCCCAGCATTGGGCCCAGGAGCCCCTTTGCACTCTCTCCCGGACACCATCAGTTGCCTGATTGTGTGAATTTGATTTCTACAACCTTTCTAATCTAGTCATTCTCGAAGGGCGTGTTCTGTGGCCCACCTCCCTCTGGAGCGCTGGTCAAAATGACACATTTTGGGACTCCCAAATATCTGCTGAGTCTACCCACGTAGAACCTTTGGGGTAGGCCCAGGAATCTGCAGGTCTGGTAAGCTCCCCAATGATTCTGACACCGAAGTCTGAGAATGGCTGCCTGTCCTCTTCATGTCCCGGGGTCGCCTCCCAACAGGTCTTCTCTCGCCTTTCCTTCTACCAATCCGTCCTCCGCCCGGAGTTTCACACATCGCCCACCTGGCCCCAGCTATATTTGAGCTCCCTAAAGCACATCAGTGCCCACATCACGCCCAGATCCCAATTCTTTCAGGCCAGCTCTCTGCCACCCTCAAAACTCAGAAGGGCCTCCCTACCCAAGCCATGTGTCCCTGGCTGGCTGCCCCTAACCACATCTCTCGCTGCTTCTTGCTTTTTGCCACGTGTGCTCTAGGCATCGTTTTTCAATGCCGCTCGAACCTAAAGTAGACCCACCCAACTGCGCCTGCGCTGTCCGAGCCTCTGCGCGCGCACACTAACTCCTCCCAAAGCCTGCCCAGATCTCCTTGGGGCCCGACTGCACTTTCACTGCTCTTTGCTTTCTAGGACAAGATAAAGTAACAACAAGCATTTGCGATCCCATCCCATGGGCCAGGCTCTGTACTAGATTCTCCTCATTTTGTCATTGAATCCTGATCGCAACCTTCTGAAATAAGTATGGTTGTTACCCCATTTTAGAAATGAAGCCACGGAGGCTCAGAGAGACTGTGTAACATGCCTAAGATGACATACCTGGGGATTGACAGCTGGGACTGTTAATTACGAGGCTTTAATCACTGCCAACTGCATAGCAGAAAAAGTGAGTACATTTGTAACCTTTGCAATGTGCCGAGTCCTTCAGCTGTATTGAGACAGAAAGTGGATTGGTGATTACCTAGGGCTGGGCCAGGATAAGGAGTGAGTGCTGATGGGTACAGGGTTTCTTTGGGGAATAATGAAAGTGTTCCCAGCTTACATTGTGGTGAGGGTTGCACACGTCAATATATTGAAAATTTCTGAGCTGTACGTCTTGTATGGGTGACTTTTATGGTATGTGTGTTATATCTCAGTAAAGAGAGATCTATTTTTTCAAAGTCCTTCAGACACAGTGGGAGTTAAATCTGGCACTGCGGTTACCAGGGACTTCTATCCCTGGGTGTTTCTGGCCTCCACAATACCAGATTTGTGTCATAAACACTCAGGGTACCCAGTGCCCTTGAGATTGCCCTCCCACCGGCCGTGTGCAGGACACTTCTGTTCATTTGCCCAGTGCCTGCCTTCGGGTTTTTAAGGAAAGCTTGTCAGTCCCAGTGTGTGGTGGCTGCATATTTGGGCACGTGGCATCTGACCATTAGGGTCTTTCTCTGCTGGCCTTCCCCATTTTGTGGACTCCTGCTTCTGTGACCCTGTGCCCATAGTGATCATCCGGAATGCTACTGCAGGCTCCTGAAAGGCGACAATATAGAGAAGGTATGAGAGAGGAGGGAGGGAGGGAGGGAGGGCCAGAGGGCCTAACAGTCCTCCCCAGGATCCCCCTCCAGTTTCTATCCCAGAAGCCCTGGGGTGGTTGTGGGGGTTTCCATTTCCCTCACTGATACTCTTGTTGCCACACCCCTGCCCCTAGAACCCCCACACACATGGACACAGGACACCCATCCATCCGAGGGGTGTTTAATGTGTCTTCAGTTCAAGGTATAAAACACAGGGCAGGCGGGCAGGCGCTAACCCCAGGAAAGTCAACTGCCACCCCATCAGCCCCCTTGCCACTGCAGCCAGGCGTCCAAACCCCAGAGCAGTGGAGCAGTGGCCCTGCCCCGCTTCCTGCTTGGGAAATGTCAAGGTGATGATGTGGGAACCCCGAGGCGACTGTCCCCCTTCCTCAGAAAACCCAGACCCAAGGATCCGAAAGGTCCAGACTTGGATGCAGAGCAGTAGGTCCTCAGAGTGACCCTGGCTAAAAAGCAGCCAGCCTTGACCTGAAGCCTGGCCCGGCCCTGTGGCCTTGGTGCTGGAAAAGGAGAAACTATCACCCCAATAACTGGCAGCAGACGGAAGGAAATAAAGCAAGAAGTGAAGACATTCCCAGTGCCCTAAAAAAGTTGGTTATGGGTCGCTGATGCAAGAGGGCAGCAAAGCCCGAGGTTGAGACCTGCTCCACCTCCCACCCCACCCCAAACCCTCTGAGGACCAGCCCCTTGAGGAACCTCATTGCCACTGTCCTTGAGCTGGCGCTAAGGAGGGGATAGAGGGCAGGAAAGGCCAGTGCCAGCTGAGGAATGATGTCCTTGCTTTGGGGGCAGGAATCAGCTGCCTAAAGTGAGCCCAGGAAGGCCAGCTGGGGAAGGGGCATCAGCTATCCAGTCTCTGGGCCTAGCCCCTAGCTCTGGACTGGGTCTTGAGCTAGGGTTAGGGCCTTACTAAATGGGGTGGTGGCAGGAGTTAGGAGCTGGGGTTGTGGTGAAAAGGGCCTCTGTGAGGACCAGCCCAGGAGACCCTTCTGACCTGTCCTAAGGGAGCCCAGTTGCTACTTCCGACCCCGTGTCAGGCTGAGTGGGCTCCTCTGCCCTTTGTTCCAGGAACACTCCCTACAGGGACTCTGGCCTTTGGCCCCTCCCCAAGTCTCTGGGCTACAGCCGGCCACTTCTGTTGAACTGGATGCACCAGTGGGAACTGGCAGTGCCTGGGCTAAGATGCGAGCGGTCCTCGTGTTCCATGAGCGGCTGCAGCTCCTGCTGCCGGGGGATGTCAGCACTGCTCTCACTGCGGGAGCGGCCAGCCTTGGCCAGGCTTGGAGGAAAGGCGAAGCTAGGGCGCAGATCCGAAGGCAGGTCAAGAGGGGCCTGGGGCTCTTTAGCAGCGGGTCGGCAGGAAGGCAGGTGAGTCACAGTTGGGGCCTGGGTGCAGGGCGGGGATGCCAGGCTCTCCAAGGATGAGATGCTCTGGTTCCAGCCTGTCTGCATGTCCACCGGCACAATCTTGGTGGTTTCCGAGGACACGTAGACTGCCAGCTCCCCCTGCCCGCTCTTCCAAGGTAGCTCCTTCTCTGCGCAGGTTGGAGAGGGGGGAATGATACGTGGGCTCGGACACACCTCAAGGCTCCCTGGAAACAGAGTACACACACACCCATTACCAACACAATGGAATTCTCAAGTATAAGCACATTTTTGTAAATAAATTCACTCCACAGTTGCCATATTATATCCACTTGTGTGATTATTTGATGAATGCCTTGCTGCAGGGAAGTTCCACAGCTGGTTTTGCTCTTCATTGTATCCCCAGCACCTAGCACAGGGCTGGGCACATAGTAGTTGCTCAACAAGCACCTGTCGAAACATGAAAATAACTAAGGCGAGAAAAAGCAGGAGCCAGACAGGGAAAAAAGTTCCATTCTCAATCAGCTCTCACCCGACTTGCAGTCTCAGAAACCACATCCTGCCAAGCCCCATCCCAGGGTGAGATGGCAGCGAGGATGAGGAAGATCTCAGGGCTCCAGCCAAAGGCTTTGCTGCTGGGAATTCTGCCTGAGCGCTTACCACAGCCCTTCGGTGGGACAGAGCCCAGGAGGGTGAGCTCATGCAAACCTAATAGCAGGCGAGGGCCGTGCCAAAAATAAGATGCCAAAAAGTAGACATAAGCTGAGAATCCCAGAATGCAGGGGGCCAGGTTGGAAGGCTCAGCCTCTGTGTGACAGGAAGTCTGAGGTTCTGAAAGAGGAAACCTGAGAAAGATAAGCCCTCTGGCCAAAGTCAAGCACAATGCCGTACGTGTAATAGGCGCTCAGTACGCCTCTACTCATTGATAAAGTCCAGAGCAGTCCAATAAAGTAGACTGAGTGCATCGTAAAATGCATCAGTGCTGTGACTGAAAGTCAAAGCGCCTCTCTGGAAAGACCTGAAATGTTAGCTTTTAATCGCAACGAAATTAAAACAATGAAAACTCTTCCGTGTTTATCTTTGGAGGATGCTGGTGAATTAACTCATGGTCTGAAAACTGATCAATAAAAGGAAAAAAATCAAGCATTTCTCCATTCTTTCCTGTATGAGCAATGTTTCAGAGTAACTAAGTAATGATGGGGGCAGGGGAAGTTGGTCATAATGTAAACAAAAAATAGATGTAGAGTATCACCACTGTGCAACCCCAAATGAAATGTGGGATCTGGCCATGATCATCAGTGGCTGCGGAGACCATGTGATGAAAAGCTGACAAGGAACTTGACAATAGAGGGGTCTGGGCAACAGCGTCTGAGCCCCATGGTCAATGGCAGATAACCAGGTGATGTGTACTTCCTGGTGTGGTGCGATGGGAAGTACGCCATCACCACCTATAAACTACTTTCACTGAAGAAATTAAAACCGAAATCTGATCTAGATATAATTACCTGGAAAGTTTATAGTTTAAAGGAAATACAAGATTAGCTAAGAAAATGAGACAGTCTAGATACACAAAATTTGAGAACATACAGGAAGAAGGGGTCAAAGAGTGGCCAGGAACCACTCATTGAATGGAACAATTCAGGTTTTGTTTTTTTTAGATTTTTTTTTGGTCTTTTTAAAAAGATTTTATTTATTTAGTTTTAGAGAGAAGGGAAGGGAGGGTGAAAGAAAGGAAGAGAAACATCGATGTGAGAGATAAACACCAATCAGTTGCCTCTCACACATGCCCCCGTCCAGGACCAAACCCACAACCTAGCCATGTGCCCTGACCAGGGAATGAACCAGCAACCTTTTGCTTTGTGGGACAACACCCAACCAACTGAGCCACACTGGTCGGAGCTAGATTTGATTGTTTCAATAAATACAAGGAGGGGGGGAGTATGTAGTGGAGATATTTTTTGGGGGAGGGGGCCGACCTATAAAAACTTGACATCATGCCCTGGCCAGGTAGCTCAGTCGGGTTCTGTTCCTGGTCAGGACACATACAAGAACCAACCAGTGAGCCCTGGCTGATGTGGCTCAGTGGATGGAGTGATGGCTTGTGAACCAAAAGGTCGCTGGTTTGATTCCCAGTCAGGGCACATACCTGGGTGCTGGCCAGATCCCCAGTAGGGGGCACTGTGAGAGGCAACCATACATTGATGTTTCTTTCCTTCTCTTTCTCCCTCCCTTCCCCTCTCTAAAAATAAATAAATTTTTTTTAAATATTTATTTATTTTTTAGAGAGGGAAGAGAGGGAGATAGAGAGAGAAAGAGAAACATCAATGTAAGGTTGCTGGGGGTTATGGCCTGCAACCCAGGAATGTACCCTGGCTGGGAATCGAACCTGGGACACTTTGGTTCCCAGCCCGTGCTCAATCCACTGAGCTATGCCAGCCAGGGCAAAATAAATAAATTTTTAAAAAATCAACAATGAATGCATGAATAAGTGGAACAACAAATTGATGCTTCTCTCTTTATCCCTTCCCCTCTCTAAAAAATCAATATAATAAAAAAAAATTTTTTAAACTGGGCACCACTGGCATGTTGGAACAGATACTTCTTTGATGTGGGGGCGGTCCTGTGCATTGTAGGATGTTTAGCAGCATGCCTGGCCTCTGCCCACCCAGTGCAAGTGCACCCCTCAAGTTGTCACAGCCCAAAGTGTCCCCAGTGTCAGGTGTCACCTCAGGGGCAAAAATCTCTCCACCACCACCCCTTTGAGAACTACTTCTAAAGGTTAAAAGAGGCTTATGGACTAAATGCAATGTGTGGACCTTATCTGGATTTTTATCGGAAGAAATCTATTATAAAAAATATTAAGACAATCAGGGAAGTTTGAACACTGACTGGATATTTGATGACCAAGATTTTAAATATGATAATGATATTGTGGTTGGGTTTTTAAGGAAGAATCCTTATCTTTTAGAGATACACCCTGAAGTGTTTACTGATAAAGTGAGATAATATCGGAGATTTGCTTCAAAAGAACCCAGTGAGGAGAGGGGCGTGGTGGTGGTACAGATGAGGCAAGATTGGTTTGAAGTAGGTAATTATCGAAGCTGGGTAACAGCTCAGTGGGAGTTCATTTTACCATTCTAAGGCATATTTTGAAATATTCTGTAATAAAAAAAAAACACTAAAAGACACCTGACAGTGCTCAAGCCAACTAACAGTGATATTTATGAGACATTCGGTTCTCCGCATACGGGAATGTGTAAATAGTGTTTTTTATCCCGCTCCTTCCCCAGAACAGGCTGCAACTGGCCACTGGGCTTCTACCTCAGGGCAGGTGCTCCGAGCCTGGGTCACAACAAAGCCAGGTATTAGCTTGTCACCTCACCTTGTTCCCCAGCTACAAAGGGAGGCAGCATGGCAGTGAAAAGGCTTTGGGTTTTGGAGTCAGAGGGGTCAGGCTCAATTTCTGGCTCTGCTGTGGGACTCTGGACAATTCCCAAGCTCCTTTGTTTCTCTGAGCTGTTTCCCATCGCGGTTGTTGTGAAGGGTGAATGCAATCGTGTATGTTAGGCGACACTCCGTAAGTGCTGGGTGGTGAATAAATGAGTGAATGGGGAGAGGGAGCTGCCTGGAGTGGAGGCCATGAGTGAAAAGGGAGAAGCCAACTGCACCACTCCAGCTTGCTCCCGAGGGCAGGGAGGCAGAGGGGAAGCCATTACCTGAGACTTTGCCCTCCTGGAGAACCTCGCTGGTGGCCCGAGCCACAAAGATGATCCCCTCATCATCTTCCTTCTCTGTCTCAGAACTGTCACTCTCCTCCTCCTCAGATTCCACAGTTAAGATCACAGCAGCTGGAGAGGGACAAGAGCTGAGTCTCGGTGGCCAGTCCAGCAGCAGCCTCTTAGTACTGTGCAAGGTGGCTCCCTGCCCACCCAGGCAGAGCCCACGGTTGGCAGAGGCCCCCGCCTTCTCCTCTGGCTGCTTCGGCCCTGGCCTAGGGGTGGGGGTTTGAGAGGAAGGGAAGTGGGACTACAGAACCCAAGGAGGCAAGCAGGGCAAGCAGAGTCCTCAGAGGACGCCACGAGGGAAGTCACACTTTCCAGCTGCACCAGCCTCTCCTCTCAGCCCCAGGTCCCATCAGCTGAGAACATGAGCATTTGGAGAGCCCATCAGTGTTCAGCTCATCCTGATTTTGCAGATGGGACGCTGGGCCCCAGGGTCCACCCATCCTTCAAGGCTCAGACCAGGCTCTCCTCTCCTCCATGACACCTTTTCCAAGTCCTCAGGGCCTGTAACCTGTAGCTGGCTAACAGACACCTCCTGTCACAAACAGTCCAATAACTGCTTTGAACACTCCAGCTTAGAAGTCATGTGCCCAAGGGGCCCCAAGACAAGGAGCCCCAGCTCACGGCTCTGAATATAGGACAGAGCAGGTCCTCCAGGATTCCGGTGGATGGGCCCCTGCCCTTCCCCTCCCCCTGCCCCGCTCCCTGCTTGCCTGGGTCCTGCAAGCCCAGGTCTCGAGGAGGCTTCCCATTTGAAGCTGCAGTGTTAGCCACGCCATTCTTCTGAGGAGCAAGAAAAAACCCTAAGCTTCGGGGTCTGGCTCCAACCCCAGCCCTGTTGTCTTCCTGACACAGCAGGGGGAGGGGACTGTGTTGGTCCCAGTGGTTCCACCATCCCTGTCCCCCCACACCCCGCCCCCGCAAGGAAGTGTTACAGAGTCTGAGTAACACATGCCCCAGCAATGGCTCTCCATGCATCAGCCTGGGCAGAATTAGGGCCTTAGGGAGTTGCCCCCTCCAAGGAATCTGCCTTTCTCCTGCTCATTTTGCCTCTGGTGGGAAGTCCTGCTGCCTCCCAGCAGGTGACCTCATGGCCAAGAGGCTGATCTTATGAAAGCCTCACCTTCCCCTGCCGGGGGCTCCAGGAAGATGCAAAGGGAACCCAGACTGCTACAGCCACCAAACTCCTGAGGATTATCCAACTAGGGGTCCCCCTGGGCTGGATTCCAACACCTGGGGGCTCAAAACTGCATGCCATCAGTCTCCGGCCCCAAACAGAAGTCCCAAAGACAGCACGTGCCTTCTTGCAGCCAGCCTTGCGGGGCCGAGGCTTGCTCTTGGTGAGGCAGATGTTGTGCTTGGTGGACTTGAAGGACTCCAGCCGCCGCTTCATGTTCTGCTGGAAGACCTCCTTGTCCTGCCGCTCCTGCGCGTCCTCCAAGATGAAGTGGCGGCTGCAGCTGGCTTTGTACTGGCAATGACAGCCCCGCCCTGCCATGAGGCTGGGTGCCTTGGCCTCCCACAGGAATCCCAGGCCACAGCCCCACAGTCACCGTAGACCAGGGGTGTCAAACTCCTTTTCACTGGGGGCCACATCAGCCTCACAGTTGCTTTCAAAGGGCCGAATGTAATTTCAGCACCTTAATAGTTAAGGAGTAGGTACATGTATACAGTCCTAAAATTATTTTGGCCCTTTGAAGGCTGATGTGGCCTCTGGTGAAAATAAGTTTGACACCCCTGCCATAGGCCCTGCCGGCCCAGTTTTTCAAGAACTAGCTGTGGATTAAAAACAAAACAAAACAAAACAAAACAAAGCAAAAATACAATAGGAATCCAGCCAAACACTCTGTAGTCTCAGTTCACTGGAGACTACCATATTTTTCAGACTATAAGATGCACCCCCAAATTTGGGAGGAAAAGGGGGTGCATCTCATAGTCCTAATATAGCTTTCATAGCTTGCTGTGCGTGGGGGGAGGTGGCGACCTATGTTATTTATGTTATTAAATATTTTACCACATTTTTTGCTTCAAAGTTTTTTTTTTCTATTTTCCTCCTCTAAAACCTAGGTGCAGGTTATGGTCTTATGCATTTTACAGTCTGAAAAATTCAGTAACTTTCCCTTATCCCAGAACCTATTCCCCCATTCACTGCTGCCCTTTCCCGGTTCTCTCTGATTAGAAGTGACAAGAGACAGGGCATTACTATGACACCACTGGGACATTTCTTTCTTCGCACCTCCAGCTATGATGACCCTGGTTCACTTGCCTGGCCCACACGCCCCCTTCTAGCAACACGGGATTCTCTCTCCAGGTGGAACTGTCCAGCTAGCCGTCCTTTCAGCCACCGCTGCGACACCTCAGGCTGCACTTTAAACTCCCATAACCCTCTATCCAGACACCCCGAACCCGCTCAGTCCGACAACCACCTGCGCCCAGTTCAGGCCCAACCCCGTCGTCTGCTCCTTCCAGCTCTTTCTCATCAAGACCAAAGCCACGGCGCACTCACACAGGCGCCTGAGACACGGGCTGCTCCTGCTCCTGCACGGGCTCCTTCTCTCTTCTCTCTCCCTGGCCGCCCTCGTGTCTCCCAGGTGCATTCCCCGCAGTGCTGTCCTTGGCCCTCCTGTCTCCCCTGTAAATGTTCTCCCTGGCAAACACCTCCATCTCTCAGCCTCGGCGGGGCCAGTGAGAGAGAACTGTGGTTCCCAAACACCAGCCATCAGGCCAGCTGCATCCGGGTCACCTGAGGGGTTTAATAAATGCACAGGCTCTTTGTTCGATTTCATCCTGCAGAATCAAAATCTCCAGGAGTGAAGCCAGAAGTATGTATTCTAGCAAGCTCCCTCCACAAGGGCTTCTGTGGGAGCCAGATGAAGACACCTTTGATAAACATGCTTCCAATAATAATTACAGCAACAATAAAATAAGAAAAAAATTGGTAAAGTTGAAAAAAATAAAAACTGTAACAAAAATAAAGATGGTTAAAAATCTATCCCCAGACCTCATCTCCCTCTTAAACTACAAACTTATATTTCTAACTGCACACTAGACACTTCTGTCTCTTTGATGACATTTCTGTGAAGAACGTGAGGAATTACGTATTGTGTTATGGTATAACTAAGTGCATTCAGAACTGGGTGAGTCATCGGACCCCAAAAACGCTCGATCCGTGTCAGTCTGGAGGATGGGATCTAGAGTCTTTGGCAGCACGCCATGGGGCTCTGTCCTCAGCTCTGTCCTGGTCAACATGTTCATGTTGATTTGGATGAATGCAGAGTTAACAGGCTTAGCAAATTGTCACATGAGGTGAACCTGAGCAGATATTTGGCGGCAGACATGGGATCCGAATGATGGAATGATGGGCTAACTCAAATGAGATGACATTGAATAGGGATAAGCACAATCTCACTCCAGGTTTTTTTTTTTTCATTGAGAATGCAAGAACGGGTTGGACTGGCCCCACTAGCCAATCACACATACACACATATCCGTGGACAGCCAATTGCTGTGGACATCCTGATGTGGCACGGTGAGAAACACGCGGCATACTCATTCAACAGTCCTGAATCTGACGAGGCCTTTAGATTTAATGACCAGGAAATGTAGGGGAGGGGGAACATGTTAAATACTGCCACTGGGGTGTGATCAGCAAAATCTATAAAATGGAAAATTCTGAGACAAAGTATCTAGGTTTTTTTCTTTTTTTTTAACTAATTTTTTAAAGATTTTATTTATTTATTTTTAGAGAGGGAAGGGAAGGAGAGAGAGAGAGAGAAACATCAATGTGCGGTTGCTGGGGGTCATGGCCTGCAACCCAGGCATGTACCCTGACTGGGAATCGAACCTGCAACACTTTGGTTCGCAGCCCGAGCTCAATCCACTGAGCTATGCCAGCCGGGGCTAGGTTTTTTTCTTAATAAATAAATAACGAGGGGATAAAAAGAAAGAGAAGGAAATATCATAGAATTTTTTTAAAAAATAAAGAGACATATTTACCAAACACAAAGTGTGGACTTTATTTGAATCTTGATTTAAACAGAACCATCTGGAAAAAGATTTATAAACACTGGACATTTGATATGAGAAGGAATTGCTAACTTATTGATAATGGTACTGTGTTGTTTTTGTTAAGAGTTCTTGCCACCTAGAGATATAGACTGAAATATTTAGAGATGATATATGATGTCTGGAGTTTGTTTTAGGATAATGAAGTGTGGTGGGTTGGGATGGGAGTAAAAGGCAGAAAACTGTACTTGAACAACAATTACAATAAAAAAAAAGAAAAAAAGATAATAAAGTGTGGATGGAAGGCGGGGGAGTCCAGAATATAATAACATTAAATTATTAATTGATAATTATTGGAGCTGGGTGATGGATAGATGAGTTATTTTATTCTCTCTAGTTGTGTGAATGAGTGAAATTTTCCATTAGAAAAAAGTAAACAAAAACCAAACCCCACAGGTTGGATGCGATAGGGTTTAACAACCACGAACAGAAGAAGACACTGGGGGTTTGCCTCCATGTAAGGACAGTATGGGGCCTCGGGGTGGGGAGGCAAAGCTGGAGGGATTCTGGGCTGTGAGAAGAGAAGGCCAAGCTCTAGAGCTAGGAAGGCAAGAGAGCCCCCATGCCCTGCCCTAATGACGGCTAGAATGTCCCCTTCCGCACATCTGGGAGAAGATGTGCTGGCCTGTATGGAAGGGGACTGCCTTGAAACCTTTGCAAATATATTCTGCAGAGCTGCAGAGAGTTAAAGCAGGACCAGTGGGAGCAAGCTAAAGGAAGCAAGTCTGTCTCAATGATAGAAACAGCCCTCACTGTTAAAACTACCAGGAGTGGTTAACAGCTGGCTTTCCATTTCAGGAAGGTTCAAGGTAATGGCTTGCTGCCCCCTTGTGGGGTTGCAACAGGTTCCCTCCTGGATGGGGTGGGCCTTTCCAGCCCCAAGACTTCACAAACAACCTGCACTGGCCTCTCACGTTACCTAAAATGGATGTCAGCCTTCCCCATGCTAAGCTGGCCCCTCAGGCTTTTTCAGCTCTCCTGCTGTGACCCTGGCAAGCCCTCTGTGCTCTACGCCGCCCCGCCGTTTTCTCTCCTCCAGCGGATGCGCCTCTCTCTTCCCACCACCCTGCTCTAACTCAGGGTTGCCCTCCAGCTTCCCACCTGGCTTGCCCAGCCTCAACTGGCTCATGCAGCCTTTCAACTCCCCGCTTCCAATTTGATCTGCATTCTGCTACTAAAGAAAACATCTTTAAACAGTGCTTGTGTCAGACCAACCCTTACTCAAAAAAGAAAAGCTGAAACTTATTATGGACAAGGTGAAGCCCCGACTCTTCAACTGGGCGTCTATAGCTCTTCACAAGCTGGTGCCAACTGCCTCTTGAGCCTGCGATCATGGCCTCCCCAGACCCTCCCCCCCCCACCCCCACCCCCGAACTCTCGAGCCCCGGCTGCTCTCACCCTGCGACGCGGCTTGTAGAGGCCTCCACAGAGCAGGTGGTGCATCACAGCATCCTCACGGTCCCGACCGCTACGGACTGTGTCAATCACCTGCAGATCCAGACACGCTCCACTGCCACTCTCCCTCCTGCAAGATGCAGGGAACGCATGTGCTGGGGAAGGGCCAGGAGGCACCAGCAAGGGGGAAAGGCAGAAGCAAAGGCGCTCACAAACTTTCCCGGAAGTGCTTCAGATGGAGGGCTCCATGGAGAGGAGCTTGAGGAAGGGGAGGTGGGCTCCAGGACTTACAGCAGGTTGGTGACAGAGGTCTCTGCCACGGAATTTCGGCTGGGCATAGAGGGCAGAGTGAGCCCTGCGGAAGACAAGACATGGCCTCCCTGGAGAGGCCAAGACAAAGGTCAGATGGCCATCAGATTGAGGGTGGCCCAGGCAGTCAGAGGACAATAAAAAAAATAACAATAGTTAACACTTATTCTGCTCTTTTGATGCTTGAAGTATTGTGTTAAAAAAATAATAGTTAACACATTCTGTTCCTTTGATGTTCGAGGTATAACTTTACCTACTGAATCCACAAAACTCTGTGATGTAGGCACTCTCATTTCCACTTTCTTACAGTTGAGGAAACTGAGGCTCAGAGAGTCTAAGTGACTCACCCAAGGTCACAAGCCTGTAAGTGATAAGAACTGAGCCACATCTGTTGCCAGCTTTCTCTGCTGCCTGCCAGCCTCCGAATGTCAGCCTCAGACCAGGCTGGTTCCTGCAGCTGCCCCTTCACAAGACCACTGAGTCTCCTAGGAATTCCTGACTTCCTCCTCAGGGCCTGTCTGCTATCAATCACCCCTTCCTGCCCTGCCCTGCCCCGCTGGCCACCTGCTCACCCCCCACCAGCCGAGGACCCACCTGGTCCACGAAGCTGATGGCGTCCCGGATGTTGAGTCTGTAGTACACGTCCCAGATCTGGTCCCGGATGCGGTAGGCTGACCGCCGCATCAGCAGCTGACTCAGGTACTTCTTGTCAAACTGCTCCCACCTACAGAGGGTGCCAGGCCCAGCGCTGAGTGCCATCCCCATGGCCCGGCCGGCTGGCCCTTCCTCAGATGGGGCAGGGACACCACCAGCACCGGCCTGGCCCTCTTGTGGGGCTGCAACGGGTTATTAAGGGCCTCAGCCAGGGAAAAATCTCAAAGCTAGTCCCTGCCCTTGTGGAATTTATAGTGTTATGGGAAAGCCTGCCATTAATTTATCACAAATAACTAACATTACAACCATGACCAGAGCTACAGAGTATAATTATGGAATGTGACAGGGATTTGTCCTAGTCGGGTAGGACAGGGACAGCCCCCCTACGGACTTGATGGCTATGGGGAGATGTGAAGGAGGTACAGAGGTTGAGCAGGTAAAGAGGTGGGGGAGTGTTCTAGTAGCGAGAAATGAGCAAACGTCCCAGTGGCCAGGGTGGGAGGAGCATGGTGGGTCCTGAGGTTCTAAGCCAGGGTCCATGTCATTAACAGGCAGATGGCCAAAGACAGAGCAGACCATGCAGGGCCAGGCAGGCCTCAACAGGCAGGAAGCCTTGTCTTATCCTGAGAGTACTGGGATGCCACCGAAGGGCTTCAGGCAGAGGTCACCAAGCCTGAGCCTGGCTGTGTCCCTTCTCAGGAGTATGACACATCCCCCATGCTGCCCTGGCTGGTGGGGCTGCTGCTGCTGAAGGAGCCTCCGGACAGCTCCCTCACCTGTCCCTCCAGTAGTGGTAGCCATGGTGCCCCACAACGTCCTCCACTGCGGCCAGAATGTGGTCAAAAGTCTAGAAGGGGGGGTGGGTAGGGGGACTGGATCAGGACTCTGCTCAAAATAAGGGAGAGAGGGGCGGGTGGCGGGATGGGGGTCTGGTACCCACGTGCTCGTGCAGCTCCTGGTTCAGGGTGGGTTTGTGATGCTCGCTCCTCTTCACCTTCAGCCACTTAACCAGCGGCTTGATGGTCAGGCCCTGCAGACAGGCAGCGGGTGAGCCCCGCCCTTTCCAATTCCCCGTTGCATTGCTCTGCCCGTAATTAGGCTTCAGCTTCTGTATCCTGACCTCAGTACATTCAAGGTCTGGGAAGCCAGGCCCCTGTACCCCCAGCAGGAAGAGGAACCCCTATCCCAAAGGCTCCAAGCCTCCCCCGGGACCTGTCAGACCCTCTTCCCGCCCAGTCTGTGGTCTCTCCCACCTGCACAATGACTGTAAAGAAGACCACCACAATAGTAGTGGCCACAAAGTAGTCCTTGGCAGGGACCTTGTTCTTGTCCAGGAGGATGACGAGAGCGAAGGCCACAGCTCCCCGCAGGCCCCCATAGGACATCACCACCTGGTCAATTTTGTCCAGAGGGACCAGCCGGAACTGATTCAGCACCCACGTCTGCAGGACTACACCTAGGGCAGGAGGGAGGCCAGTGGGAGCGGGGGTTGGGAGTGGACGGCACTGGGAGCAGGCCGCACCGAGTATCTGGGCTAAGGTCTGACGGAGGCTGGGAGGGCAGAGCAACGAGGGGAGGCTTAGGAATTGACGAGGATGCGGACTCAGACTGGAAGATGAGCTGGGGCAGGGGCAGGAAGGAGAGTGGGGAAGCAGACGGTGCCAGCAATACCGAGGGCTCGGAAGAACAGGATGAAGAACAGGGTGCCCAGCACCAGCCCAGAGTCCCAGGCCCACTTAGAAGAGTCCACAGCTGAGATGCCAAGCAGCATGAAGATGACGGTCTCGGCGCAGCTGGCTAGAGTCTTCATGGTGTATTTGACCGTTGTGCGTGACTTATGGGAGATGTTGGCCTCCACGTACTTCTTACAGCCCAGGCCACACATAGTCACCCTGGGAAAGGAATGGAGAGACGGGGCAAGTGAGAAGGGGTCTCAGGAGGCACCACCTTGGGGTTAGAGCATGCTGCAGGAGAGGGTGCTGCCCACCCCAGGATGTCAGAGTCTCAGAGCTGAAGCCCAGGAGGCATGGGGACTGTCCAAGAACAGCTAGTGGCGGTCCTGGGATAAGGGTCCATATTTCCAGGCCTCCCACTCCGTGCCCCCTGGAGGGGAGGGTGGGCGAAACATGCTCTAAATGGCACATTCTCTGAGGCACCTTTTGAAGTGCCATGGCCCCCACAGCCAGTGGCACCAGGCTTTGAAGCCAATTTCAGCTCAGCTCACACCCCATAGAGTACTTCAGGCAGAGGAAGACTGGGTTCTAGAAAGTTCTGGAGGCAAATCCAAGAACATTATCTGAGGTTTATAGTCTCCTAAGGGGAGTCTGAGGCTCCCACTGCCACAGGGGCTCAGGGAAACCCCATGGACTCCCAGGGACCTGGTTCTGTTCATAGGAGGGGCAACCATCTCCAGGGACCCCTCCCAGCGGCCTGCCTGCCAGTTCCCCAGGACTCACGCAAGAATGGCAGATAGCGAGGCCATTTCAGCAGTGAGGTAGGCTGCGTAGGCGAGGAGGAAGACCAGCAGCGGCTCGATGATGCGGACCCGCTTGGTGAAGCGTGTGGTCAGGGCCAGGAGGAAGGCAAAGACTAAGCCCACGGCTGCCCCGCCCAGACTGACCACAAACAGGGAGGCTGGGGGAGGAGTGGGTTGTCAGCATGACCCCTGGCCTGCACCCTACCCAGGCTGACTAGACTTCTGCCTGGCAGGCAGTGGAGGACGATGCCCGCTGCACTCCCCGGGGATCAGGATCCCTGAGCCAGGATCCCAGGGAAGCCCCTCCTTCTCGTATTCTCAGGGCCCATTTCTCCATAGAGGAGGGGAGGGAAGGAGGCAACCTGAACAGCCTCTGCTGTCCTGATGTGGTGGGGACAGGGACCAGCAACCCAGGGGAGGTACACCGGCAGCGCAGCTGAAAGCGGGGAGATACTGACCGACTCCCTTCAGGTAGTCAGTGGCCCGCACGTTGGCCGAGCCCATCTCCACAAAGGAGTTGCAGACCTTGTACAGCACCTGGGGGAGGGGAGGAGAGTCAGGGACGAGGGGAAGGCCGACCGCTGGGAGAAGGTGAACACAGAGGCTGCATTTCCTCCCCAGGGGGCCCGGGGGGGGGCGGGGACAGGGTCTGAGCCTGTTCACACACCCAGCTACTCGGAGCCCAGAAGGCCTGGGATCAGGAGTGGCAGCCATCTGGGCCGTCTTACCACGGTGACTGCATCGTTAAGCAGGGACTCGCCGAAGACGATGATGAAGAGAGTCTCGTTGACATGCACCTCCTCAAAGACAGCCAGTACAGCCACGGGGTCCACTGCCGAGATGAGGCTTCCGAACAGCAGGAAGTCCAGCAAGCCAGCCTGTACTCTAGGGGCTTTCGAGAGACAGATGGGGGACAGTACCTGGTGAGGTGCTGAGTCTCCTACCATGTCCCCTATGACAAGCCCAGGCTCCACCCCACTGTTAAAACAAGGACGCCCCGGGAGGATCTGGGATGGTGAAGAGACCATCAGCCAGCCAGTCAAGAGACTTGAGCCTAAGGCCTGGCTTTGCCACTTACCAGCTCTGTGATGTGGCACTGTCATTGTCACATGACTTCTCTTAGCCATGCCTCCTCGTGTGTCTACCTCATAAGGTGGCTGCAAAAACCAACCCAGGAGATGGCTAAGAAAGCTCTACGTAACCTGAAAAGCTAAAGCGGCACTGACAATAGCCGCCGTCGCAGCAGTAATAGAAGCCACCAGCAGGTGGAAACTGGCTGCTGACTGGCTCGATTAGGGAGAAGGACAAAAGAGCGTGTTTCTCCCACGCCTGTGGCTCAGCCGAAGGGATGTGACACTCACAATTCTCAGCGGGAGGGGGAGAGGCTCTCCACCTATGAGGGCTGAATATAGTATAAAAAGCACCACGGGTGGGACTTGAACGGGTCACATGGCCGTGAGCCTCAGTTTCCTCAGGTATATATTGGGAATAATAACAGTATCTTCCTCATGAAATTCTTCATTTAGCCAGTACCTGATACATAGAAAGTGCCCTATTATTCGGACTCCTATTAATACCATGGTCTCATGTCTTCCCTTCCCTGCCTGCTCTGGGAGTTCACTGATCTATTAGGGAAACCAGGTTGGAGTCCTCAAGGGAAAACTGCAAACGTCCCCTTGCATCTTGGAAGAAATCCCAATTCCCAACACGCAGGGCTGAGTGAAGTGGCAGGCAGGAAACGAGGAAGAAGGGAGCGGGCCACGGCAGCCTGAATGCCAGGAGCCTCAGTAAAGTGGACTTCTCCTGCTAACCATGGGCCTGATATCAATTAAGTTTAAGGGCCTCTATAACTTCATCCATTAAATGAAACAAATTAATACCTAACCAGGGTTGCCATGATGAGTCAATGGGATAAGTAGAGAGAACACCCAGCGTAGCATCATGCATTTTGCAGATGTATAATATGCATTCACTAAAAATAATAATGTGACCCAGGATGGTAGGCCCTCGCAGGAATGCTGAGCTATGCCTCAGGGGACAGGGCTGGCAAGTGGCGGCGTGGTAACAAAGGCAGGAGCAGCAGAGTGGTAACACAGGCTCCCCAGCCTCAGCAGCCCACACACAGCTGGGAGTCAGGGCCCAGTCATCTGTCATGCTGTAGAAGCCAGACTCAACAGCCAAAGACGTAAATGCAGGCTGAAGGCCCATCTGGAGCACTGTCTTGCACTCCAGCGGGGAGGGACCCAAGATGGGGCTCTCAGGGCCTGGCTCTCGCTGACGTGAGATCTCCAAAGCTGGAGGAGGAGAGAGGTGGGTGATAAGTCCGGCAAAGCCTCCCTCCGTCAGCCCAGGTCTCAGCGTCACTCACCCACGAGTCCAGCCTGCTGCAGGCCCCAGAGGGCAGCACCTGTTGTGAAGGTATTCCAGAGTGTGCCCACCACGGCGTAGGTGAGGATGGCACCCAAGTTGTCGAAGAACAGCCGGCTAGGCATGAAGTAGCCCGAGTCTAGCACGATAGGGGGCAGCAGGAAGAGGAAGAAGGTGCCTGGCTCCAGCTGGTACTCAGCTTTCTTGGCCACAGCCAAGACAATGCCTCCAAGCACCAGTCCCAGTAAAATCAGCAGGCAGCTCTCAGGGACTAGAGATGTCACCTTCCGAGACAAGTGAAACACTGCAATGCAAGAAGAGGGCCAGAGGTTTCAGCTTATGGGACACGCGTGCACGCACACACACACACACACACACGCACACACGCGCGCGCGCGCACACACACACACACACACACATGCACAGTGGCCTATAGCCTCCCAGTCTTAGAAGGTTATCCGAGCTCAGAACCCCAGACCCTCGGACCAAGGAAGGAGAAACGAAAGGCAGGACTCCTAGAATCTCTAACCTTCTCCAACTACAAAATTGTCTATTTCTTGGTGCTCCTCTCATGATAGCCCAGGCCATGGCTTGCTTTCTTCATTTCCAGAAATGCCCCATCCTCTCTATTTCGTATTCAGGGGACCTCCCCTTTCTCTGATTTCCCTTATCCATAGCCATCATTTGAACCACAGCAAATGCTACTGATTATACTGTTAAGTATAACACAGCTGTAAAATTCAGGGCCTCTGGAGCCAGGCTGCCTGGGTTCAAACCCTGCCTCTTCTACTTAAGTAGTTCTGTGACTTTGGAGCAAATAACTTCACCTCTCTGATTTTCAGTTTTCTCGAGAGTAAAGTGGGAATAAAAACAGTAATAATCTCACAGGACTGTTGTGAGGTTTAAATAATAACAATCTAGTCAAAAGCACTTAGCCCAGTGCTTTATATTAAACGCTCACTAAATGTTACCTATTATTATATGACTGTGTCCTGTCGCCCTAACCAAACCATAATGCATACTATACATCCTAGGAGCACTATGCTAGCCCATTGTGCTCTTCATTATATAGGCTTCCCAAAGACTCAGTAGTTTAAAAAGTGGTGGGTTCAGCAGTCAGATCTCCAATTTTTTATCTCTATCACTTCCTAATTGTGTGATCTTAGGTATATTATTTAATTTACCTGAACTTCAATTTCTTTTCCTGTATTATGGGAAAAAATACCAACTACACAGGGTAAGGATAAAATGACATGGCGTGAATGTGCCAAGTAGGATATCAAATAGCTGGTTCTCAACAAATGTTAATTAAATATGACTCTGGGCAAAATCTGTCCCTAGGAAAAGAGGAGGTGGTATTAAATGGGTTTCTAGCATTATTGCCATTTCAACCTTTGCCCCCTAAAATAAGCTCTTGTGGCTTTCCTTTGGTCCCTGGGGCCACACAGTCCCTGGGGTGGTGGGTAGTAGGGCAGACTTCCACGTTAGCCTGTGTAAGACTCAATGCCAAGACAGTGCCCTTTGGAAGCTGTACCCAAAGAGCCCAGGACAACGCTTGGCACATGGTGGGATCTACATAAAGATTTGTCTAATAAAAGCGGGGGCGGGGATTCTCCTGGCAATAGAGCTGGAAAAAGGTATCCCAGAATATTCTACCTATCTCTCCCCTCCTCTCCTTTTTAGACAGATGTGAAGGAGGTCCTCTTCTCCTGCCTCCAGAGGAGGTGGCATCCAAGCTAGGGAAGGCGCTATGAGTTATGGAGGAAACGACAGTCATTGCTATAAGCCTAGATGACACAGGGACTCTCCTGCAACACACAAACTTCTCAGCAAACCCAATTCTTGGCTCCCATATCCGAGGCTCCTCTCATGTTGCTCTCATTGCTGCCAGGTCCTAAGCGATGTTCAGTCACAGGTCTCCCACACACTCCCTCGGGCCCCCCTCTCCTCTCCTTCAGGAACCCTATTCCATCCTCATCTCCAGAGCATGCATCAACCCCAGCGACCAAAAACCCATCACCAAAGCTTGTCCTCCGACAGAACTAAGCTCCCTAAAGGCATTTAAAACCTCATTTTTCATTAGCAATAGGCTGCCACAGTGGAGTGGAACATTCTTCAGTTCCTGCTCAGCCCCCTACCTCCCAGCAGTGTCCCTGGGGGAGATGAGGGGGGGCGGGGGAAAATTCTAGGCTGTGTGATTCCTACATAAAGACTGCTTTAGTGAGATTGGAGTACAGACTGTGCCAGCATAGATGGAGAGTGAGTAGCAACGCTCAGCTATAATTAGTCACCCCCACAGCAGAGCCTGCACAATAGGGGGAAGGAGGAGGGTCTCTAGTGGGAGGAAGGACCACTGGTTGCTCTGAAGTAGGGAGGAGGTAGTAGAGGCCAGGAAAAGCAGCACTATTCAAGGAAAGGATTCTGAAGCACAACCTTCAGTGTTGTGCAGACTAAAGGAGGTCAGATGCATGAAAGCACCTAAGGCTGGGAGCACACAGTGAGGCCCCCAATAAGTGAAAGTTTCTTATATCCTGAAGTGGGAAGACTGTGGATTTGAACTTGAAGGGCTGGGGTGGAGTTCCACAAGCTAGGCACAAGAAGGGGGCATCTTTAGGGGACTAGAGAAAAAGTGACAGTTTAGTACCCCAAAAGAGTGAATACTGAGATCTGGTCTCCAGGGAAGACTGTTCCTGAGGACTAGGATGCCTGAGTTTGCCAGAGAATATCATCTGCTTCATGTCCCCACGCAGCCTCACCCCTGACACAGGTTTTTTGGAGGCTGATGATTGGTGGAGAAGCGAGGCAGAAGGGCTTACTGCAAGGGGAAGAGGGGAGCAGAGAGGGCAAAGGAGTGTAGGGGTGGGGATGTAGAGAGCACGAGCAACCCTTGAGAAGGCAAATCCTCAGAGCTCCCAAGCGAGGAGAAGGGGAGGAGGGAAATCCACAAGAGGCAATGCAGAAGCTGTGTGGGAGCCCGGATTGTGGAATCGCAACCTAAGTCCCGGCGCTATGCAAGAACTAGCGGTTGTGGGCAGGTTCGCTGCCGGCCGCCGGCCTGGCGCTCGCACACACACACACGCACTCACCGATTTTGGCCAGGCTGGCCACCAGGATCCACAGGGCTACCAGGTAGGGGGCCTCCACCTCGTGCCATTGCCAGCGGAAGAGCGCCAATCCTGGGGGAGGCTCGCTCGGAGATCCCGGCTCCTGGGTGGGTTCTTCGATCTCTGCCGCCCCCGCCAGGGGCAGCCCTAGCAGCGGCAACGCGGCGTGCATCATACTGCCGCCAGCCTAGTCGCCCTCCCGGCAAAGCACAGCCGCCGGCCCCGTGTCGCCGTCGCCGCCTACCGGCCGCCCCCGCGTCACAGGCACGTGGGGCGCGCTCCCCCCAATCCCAGCTCCGATGCTCCTAAACCAGGTCCGGACTCCAAGACCCTGCCCTGGGCATCCGTACTCTGGCCCCCGGCTCCTCCCGTCTAAAACGGTCTCAGCTTTGGAAATTCCCCAGTGCAGCCCTCCCCCAACTCCCGCAACCTATTCCTTCTGGTGCCCATCCCCAAACCTGCCCCAAACCTCCCCCGGCCCGGATTCCAGCTGGGAGCGACGACAGTCCTCCCGAGTCACCGACGCGTCCCACCCGCGGGAGGTGGCAGCCTGCCACCCGAGGGATAGGAGACGAAAGGGGCGCGTCTCCAAGGTGAGTGCTACCAGGGGGGGAGCAGCTCTGGTCTCCGGTACCCGGGCTGCAGCCCCCGCGCTGCCGCGAGCAGACCGCAGCGGGCTGCGCGCGGCTGCCGTTCGCGTAGCTCCGCTGTGAGCCTGGGACCCCCTTCTGGCCCCAACCCACACCACAGCTGCGCACGCGCACTGGGCGCTCCCAGGAAGCCGTGATGGACAGCGCTGTCTCCAGCGTCCCCTGAAACCCCAAAGGCCCAGACTGAGCCCAGCTCATTTCAGGCTGAGGAAGCCATTCCTCTCTTGTCCCAAACGGAGAGTCACCATTCCTCTTCATTTCCCTCAAACTATAGGGAACTCTTCCACCTTTTCCATAAAACTGAAGAAAACACATCTTCTTCCCCTAAACTATAGAAAACAGCCTATCGACTCCCGTCAAACTAAGAGAGATCCACCCAACTTTTGGGCAGGAGTGGGACATTAGGCTTATCTCGCCCCAAACTGAGGAGAACTGTCTGCACTTCCCATTCAAGTTGGGGGTACCCATCACACTTTTCCCCCAAAACTGAGGGAAACGTGTTCTACCTCCCTCCTCAATTTCCCCAGCTAAAAGAAAATGATCCCATCTCTTCCTTCAAACTGAATAGAATCTATTTTATTTTCTTTTTTATTTTTTAAAGAGTTCTATTTTTATTTTTTAGAGAGAGGGGCAGGGAAGGAGAAACAAAGGGAGAGAAACATTAATGCGTAGTTGCCTCTGGAGTGCCCCCTACTGGGACCTGGCCCACAACCCAGGCAAGTGCCCTGACTGGGAATCAAACCAACAACCCTTTGGTTCTCAGGGAGGCACTCAATCCACTGAGCCACACCAGCCAAGGCAATTTTCTTTTCTTTTTTAACTTTTAGAGGATGATTTCATTTATAAAAAGTTCAAAGACAGACAAAACTAAATATTAATAGTTTAGCAATGCACTTATAGGTGATAAAACTATAAACAAAAGTAAGGAAATGACCACACCCATAGTTACACAGATGTTTGTCGTTATTTTTTAAAGCGTGCATAAGTGTTTCATTTACTCTTCTCTGTACTTGATAGCTCACAATTTTTAAAATGGCAATAAATTGCCTAAACTTGTACAACTTTTCTTTCATTTGGAAGTTTTTAATTTTTTCATTGTTTTCAGTTACAGTTGTTCCACTTTTTCCCCCTTTGCTCTCCACTGCCCACCCCCGACCCCTGCTCCCACAGTCAATCCCCACACTTCTTGCTCCAAGTTGAAAAGGATCCATCTCCCTGCTTTCCCCAAATGAGAGGATCCCATCCACTTCACCCTTCAAACTGAACGACTCAGGACCATCTCGCCCCTAAATTGAGGGAGACAAGGTCGGCCTCTATCTGAAGAAATTTCCGCCCCACCAGCCCCCGAAGAGAGCGCAGCCTCACCTCCCCAAGCGCAGAGAAAGCCTCCCGCTCTCTGCGCGCTCTCAGGGCCGGGAGCGAGCTCGGGTTTTCCCGCCCGCCTAGGCAGTGAACTAACGGGATCAGGATCACGCCTTCTAAGTGGCTAGCCGCAAGCCCCGCCTCCGGCAGTGGTTACCCACCCTCTGCGCTTTCCGGGACGACTCTGGGCTCCACCACCGCCCTCGGCCCCGCCTCCGTCTTGCTCCGCCCCTCTTCAACAGTGTCCTGTTCGTCTCCGCCCAGATCTAGTTGAGTAGTCTCTGCTGTGGAGCCGAGACTTGTCCCGAGGTTCGCGACGCGAGCCAGTGGCAGAGCCATGGCTGGCGGGGAAGACCGCGGAGACGGGGAGCCGGTATCAGTGGTGACCGTGCGTGTGCAGTACCTGGAGGACACTGATCCCTTCGCTTGTGCCAACTTCCCGGAGCCGCGCCGGGCCCCCACCTGCAGCCTGGACGGGGCGCTGCCCCTGGGTACACAAATACCCGCGCTGCATCGCCTGCTGGGGGCGCCGCTCAAGGTGAGGGCAGCCAGAGAAAGGTTGGAGGCTATCGAGGGTTCAGGGTTTGCGCCGTGAAAGCCTTTGAGAGGTGCCCCCCAGGGAGAATCTGGAGTGGGTACGCTCCGACGGGAAAGTCTTGGGCTGGGGACTCAAGGTCCACATGGCCCTGCTTGCGGCAACGCCTCTCAAGTTTAAAGGAACCTGAAAAAGGGAGATGGGATCTTGTGGTCTGCACCACCCTGGCTGCCCCTTGAAGTGAGGCCCACCTGAGGAGGTGCTTAGGGTCCACTCGATGCCTGTCTGCCTGGGTAACTGCTCTGGATTGGATGACGGTAGATATTTGGGTGGTAGGGGACCCAGGAGGCGGAGCTGGGAGCGTGTGGACCAGCTTCCACCTCACCTGAAGCAGGGGCGGAACTACGAGGAGGGGCGGACCCGGGGCGGGCCACTAAAGGTGGCGAAGGTTTGGAGGGACGTCTAGAGGTTGAGTTGAATCCTGCTGTGTAGAATGTTGCCACTGCAGGTTGGGGGTCTGGCTTGGGAGTGCCGGAGGCGAACAGACTTTACAGAGTGAGGGGAGTCCTCGAGAAGCGTCCCGGCCTGGGACACGCCAGGCGCGGGAGGTTCCACTGGTGGAAAAGCCCTTTGAGTCACCGCCCCCACCATCTCTTACTCGCGCCACCGCGGGCGGGCAGCTGGAAGGGAGGAGGCGGGCCAGGCTAATTTTAAACCGCTGTCCTGCCCTAGTTTGCCTGCACCCCGGAACCGACTCGTGCACAGTACCAGGAAAGGCCCTTTTCCAGATGGCGGGCCCTAACTCTCCTCCGGCTCGCTGCACTCGACCCCCCGCAGGCAGCCCTTTCCGGCGCGCCGGGTTTCCGGGCTAGGACTCGGGGAAGTGCACTACCACTTCCTAGGCTTCCCAGTCAGCCAGTCTGCACTAAGTGGTGCGGGAAAGGAGAGGGATTCGGTGAGGGTGCCCTCCCCTGCTCCCAGCCTTAGCTGGGTCGCCGGGTTGCGCAAACTTGCCTCCCCCCGCCACAAGGCCCGGGGTCTCCCTTGGAATGTGCCCCGGGCGCCGGCCCCCAGCCTACATTCCTCACGCTAAGGGCCAGCCCCGCCTCCGAGCTCGGGAGGGAGAAGTGGTGACTATTGGCGTGGGGAGTGGTGCACGTTCCGGCAAAGCCCGGGATTCAAGACCACGACTTGAAAGTGGCGGTACCCTGCTCACTCCAGTTTTGATGCAACAACCCACCCCGCTCCCTGCCCTGCCCTGCCCTGGTGGAAGGGGTAAACTGAGGTGGGCCTGAAAGAAGCACGTCCAGCCTGAGGCCACCTCCTATGCAGGTTGGGTGCTGGAGAGAGAAGGGTGCTGAAGTGAGGCCAGGGTCCTGGAACTCCTGGTGCTGAAATAAGCCTGGAGCACTAAAGAGAACACAGTATTCCTTTCACCCCACCCCCACTCTAGGATGGGACTTAACCCTGGCATCCCTCTTTCTGATTAGGGGCAGGTTTGAGAGGTCAGCTACAGGAAGGAGGCTCAGAACACCCCCACCCCCCACTTAAGGACCCATCTCCTTACCCTACCAAGTGCCCTGCCCTCTTCTCTGCTTCTAGCGAAGGACACTACTGAACCCTGCCAACTCAGTCCTTCTGCTTTCCTCCCTTTCGGGATCTCCCACCTGGTATACCTAAAGACTGCCCTATGCCCCACAGGCAGGGTATGGGGGTGGACACACTGGGTTACCATAGTGCTCCGGGCCAGGACTCCCTGGGGCTGGCAGCTCTGCCAGCAATGGTCAGATGCACTGTGATGTGCTCATCCCAAATATAAACTGTGACCACAGCCCCAGAATAGAAGGCTGGAGGAAGAAGGCTGAGAATAGGGTAGGGGCAGAGACATCAGAGAGCTGAGAGAGGGGGAGCAGGGCCCCTCCTTGCAGGAAATGTCAACAGCTGGTTCCTCCCCTCGTCCTATAAGTGGGTGCCCCAGGGGCACAGACATGACTCAGGCCTGCCTTGAGAGCCCCTGTGCAGGGCTGTAGAGCAGGAATACGAGGAAGGGGTTTTGTACTCCCGGCTTCATCCTCTGCAGAGTTGTCCAGCAGAGGAACAGGATACAGCCATCTCTGCCCTCCTGCTCTGGGCACTGACCCCCATCATCCCTGCAGACCCTGCCTCCTCCCTGGGGATGTGCAGAGGCCCAGCCTTCTTTCTCTCTGGGGCTCCACCCCACACAGCCCATTGGGCTAGGCCTGCCTCTTGAGTTCCCCTGGGGTTTCCTTTATAAAGGACATGGAACTTTCAGATCTGTGAGGGCCTTGCTCATTTCCTCCCAGTCTAGGAGGAAGCTCCTGGCCACAGCCTCTGACTCATCTCCTGGCCCTGGGTGGGGGGTAGGCAGGGCTCTGGCAGTGCCTTGGACCATGCCTGATGTCCCCAGGGGAACTCAGAAATATCTATCTTCCCTCTATTGCCAGAACCTCAGTCAGCTCAGGGTCTTGCTCTTGCCCCAGGGGAGAACCTGCCTCTCCCACTCTGTGGCTCTTCTCCTTACCCAGAGCCTGCCTGTCCCACAATGCCTGCTACAATTTGCCCTCCTGGGTGCTACCTCAAGAGCTCTTCCCTTACACGCAATGGCCCTGCCATGTCTGGGATAGCGCTGACCTCTCCCTGGGCTCAGGGCAGAGGGACCTGGGTGCTGCTCTGACCCTGAAGCAAAGGCCAGAGGAGCCCCCTACCCCTAGCAGCGGAGATAGCCCTAGAAATCTGTCCATTACCAGCAAACTTTGTTTCCCCAGTATGGTTAAAGATCACGGTAGGACAGGAGTTGCACTGTCTTGGAATGTTTCCTAACTTTGCCCCCTCCTTGCTCCAGCCTCAGTTTAGCCTTCAGAAACAATTATGGCAAGGGCGCTTATGTGTGAACTTGACCTGCTAGGACAGGGTCAACTGGAAGGGGACAACTGGAAGGGTCCCAGAGGATTCTTAAGGGCAAGATGGAGTGCTCTGGCACATCCGATTTGCCGGTCACTGTGGACTGGGGAGCTGGGGCTGCAGCCTGGTGAGGGACCCCAGGACCTAAGTCCCGGCAGAGGCAGGCACTATTACCCCAGCATGTATGGTGTGTGTGTGTGTTCGTTAGCCCTCCCTCGCTGCAACTGGGAGGACCAGTTTGGGGTATTTGCAGATTCCGGAAAGCTGAGGGGCCACCTTCAGCTCTTGGCAACCCTACAGGCTCCAGCCTTCACCCCACCTCCCTTGCAGGGTTCCCTGGAGCGGTTCCAGAGAACATCTACTTAAGATGTAGGTCAGTTAGCCCTGGCACCATTCCTGGTTGTGCAACCTGGTGCAAATTCTGTACCTTGGTCTCCTCACCTACAAAATGGTTATCGGGATCAAAGGAACTGGAAACTAGGCAGCCCGGTGCATGACACAGAGGAGGCATGACAAAAGTGGGTGTCCCTCCTCAGGGGCCATCCATGTCTCATCCAGGAAGTCAAGGTCTAGTTGGAGACCCAAGGTAACAGGAAAGGAGGGGCATCAGAGCACAGGGTCTTGTGTTTGGAGGAGAAGATAAAGGCAGTTTGCAAATTATTTCCTTAAACAAGGGTCCTTCAGCATATCCTTGTGTCCTCTCCGCCGTCCTCCTTGTACTCTGCCCCTGGCCTGTTCATGCTCATCCAATTACACTGCTATGGAAACATGGGGGAGTAGACATCAGGGCCCCCTAAGCTTAGCCCTGCACATCAAATCATATGTAACGAGTTGCTTGGGGCTGCCAGAAAAACCTGAGCCCAGAGAATCAAAAGGATAGGGTTCTGGAGACTGAAGTGAGGGGCTGGGCCTGGGAAGAATGGGGGAGGGACACCACCCCAGAAGGGAAGTGTGGAAGACGAGAGCCAGGAGGGAGTCAAGGATGCAGACCCACTCTGACCCTGTGCTGACCCTAAGCGCTGTCAGCAGGGACCAGGGTTCGGGCTTACTCAAGCCTGGCGCAACCCCAGGGTGTGAGAAACAAGGCCCAGAGGTTTGGCTCTCAGAAGGGTGACCCCAGGAAGGGGCCAGGGCTGCGAGGGACAAGCACCACTCAGCTGGCAGGAAGTCTCTGCTCTTTGCCGCTTGCCGGGACAAAGCTCTCCCCAAGACAAATGGCTGGAGGAGGGGAACGTTGTCCTGCAGGCCCCGGGCTGCCTGTGACCCCTGGACCTCCTCTCCAGAAATGGGGCCCTGACAGGACTGAACAGGTGACATGCTTAGGGGAGCAGCTGCTACCACGAGGGTTTAGACCTGCTCATCTGAGGAGGCTGGGGGTGATGAGCGCTTAAGTCTTCAGGATCCTGCCCCCACCTGGAGGCAGGCATCCAGGTATCCTGCCCACCCGGGATGAGAGCGTGCAGGAGGGGAGGGGAGCAGGCTGGGCCTGAGCTTTCTGTGGGTGTGCTTCTTGGGCCTGTGGCTGGCCAGTGAGCGTATGTATACCTGACCGTACACCTGGGTATGTAAGCAGTTACCGGGTATAATCTGATCACCCCTCCAGTGTTTATCTTTACACCACTCCACTGCTCCCCTGGCTTGGCACCCTTGGCACCCTTGTGCTTCTGCATTCATTTGCGGCCTTTCTCTGAGTCAAGCCTGCCTGCCTGCCCAACCCAACTGGAAAGCAGGGAAGGCAGAGGCAGTGTCTCATTCCCTGCTACATCCTCAGCACCTAAAACCAGCCCAGTTCATGAATGTTTCAGTGAATGAGCTGTTCTATACGTGTGTGATTTGGGGGATCCCTGAGGGAGGCTGTGGCCCTGGGGGAGATATGTTTCTCTAAGGTCCCAGAAGGAGTTGCAGCTGCTCCTGGGTGGGGGTGGGGAGGGTAGGCTGCTGAGTCATGCTGTGGGAAGAGGGCTCAGGGGGACTGTGGGGCTGCCCTTGACTGAGCTGGCTCTGGATAAAGTACCCCAGCCCTGGGGCCTTGCCCCCATCTCAGTTCTGTCCCCAGAAGGCCCTGGAGAAGATTACTCTGCTCCTAGGGACGGGAGAGAGGCCAAGCTAGCCCAAGAGGAGGGCAGGCAGCCAGACAGGAAGTGGGACAGAAAACAGGCTGAAGTATTTGTCCTGTGTCCCATGTCCCATGCAGTGGGGGGAGGTGGTTACCCAGGGGCCTCATAGGAAGGGCCTGAACTGCCAGGAAGGAGCTGGGTCAGCCTCTCAGGCATAGCAGGGGTGCCAAACAGAGGCAGGGCCGGGGGCAGGAGCGGACTTCCTTTCCACCCAGGGAACCTAGGGCAGCTGGAAGCCCCCGGGCTCGGTCCCAAACTAGGCAGGGCTGACAGAACACCAGGGCAAATGTGGGGTTGACTTTCCCAGTAAGATGGAGGCCAGAGGCCCCCTGACTCTGCAGAGGGAGGCTCTCCCTGGGTCACGGCACCTCAAGGAGTGGGGCCACTCAAGTCAAGGGGACTTTGCTATGGAGGAGGTGTGCGGGAGAGGCACGGTGCTGCCATCACAGCAGACTCTCCACAGTCACCTTACTAGGCTCTTCTACAGGTATTCTCAAGGGGCCAAGTGTCCTGCCCAGTGGTGGAGGGGAGCCAGGCTCAGCGGGGAGAAAGGCATGAGAAGCAGATACGTGGATGGAGCATGTGCCTTCTTGTTACAGTACAGGTTTCGGGAACTCACTGGAGACTGACTGAGTCAGACCCTAAAATCTGGTTTTCAATAGGCCACTGGGAGACCTGGAGGGACTGGGAGCCTGTGGGTTGGGCCCTGCTCCTCACTGTCTTATCTCAGGGAGAGTCACACACATCTCTCCTAGCTGGGTTTTCACCTCCCAGCATTTTTTTTCCAAATTATAAGAGAAAGTTTATTTGGAAAGTTACAGAAGTACTATAAATGAGCCAGCTGGGCTGCGTAGACTCAGGAAACAAGTCACAGAAGCAAAAGAAGGGCCCTCGGAGCCCCCGGAGAGAGAACGGCAGAGGTAATGGGAAAGGCCTGTGCTCCTGAGACAGAGAATGCTCTGCCTCCCAGCATTCTTAACACTTTCCCCCCTGGGCTTGAATGCTTTGTGGCTGCAGCTTATCACCCCACAGGGCTGTGAACTTCCTCGAAGGCAGGAACTTCCTCCCATCTTCTCTCCATTCTCCTTCCTCATTCATGTTCCTCAGCTCAGCACGTGCTTGGCGAGCAGTTACTGTGTGTCAGGTGCTGCAAGAGGCTCCTGCACCCAGCGAACACATGGTGACAGGGAAGGACACTGACGCCCAGGATATCACCCTGCTCTGGGGAAGGCCTCAGAGCGGGGTGCACACGGGGCGTGGAGTGGGCTGCATAGCATTGGCTAGAGGAGTCCAGAAAGTCTTTTTTTAAAGAGCCTTATCTAATCTGAAACCTAAAGAATGAGTAGCTGTTAGCCAAGAAGACAGCACATACAAAGGGCAAGGGAGTCTGGCACCTGAGAGGGATGGTGCATGAGCACTGCTGAAGAAACGTGTGGCCACAGTGCAGAGCCCGTGCTGGACCCCTGCCAGCACCCTGAGGAGGAGGTGGGAGGTCATGGGGGTCTCCATACACACCCCAGCCCTGATGGCTATTCTCTTTCCCCCTAGCTAGAGGACTGTGCCCTGCAAGTGTCTCCCTCTGGATTCTACCTGGACCCTGAGCTGTCCCTGGAAGAGCAGCGGGAGATGCTGGAGGGCTTCTATGAAGAGATCAGGTCAGAGCTGATGAAGCCAGGAAGACTAGGCTGGCCCCAGCCTCGCTCCCACCAGGGGCTGGCTCAGGTGTCCACAGCCGAGACACCTGGTCTCTGCCCTGGGCTCTGGGTCACATCCTGTTGCCCCAGGGAACTATGCCAGGGGAATCCCTGGCCAGTATTACCTGCTGCCCAGGATGGGAGTGGGGGACTGTCCCACATACCTGAGATACCTGTGTTTGCATAAACACTTTTGTCTGGCCAACCCTTGGGCTTGGGGGAACATTTGGGGAGGTCTTTGGCAGCCCTGGTGTGGGGGAAGGGACCCCAGGGAATAGGCTGGGAGCTGCTGACTAGGCTGCTTGATTCCAGCAAAGGGCGGAAGCCTACGCTGATCCTTCGGACCCAGCTCTCCGTGAGGGTCAATGCCATCTTAGGTGAGTGTGTGAGAGTATCGGTGTCCAGGAACCACCCCCACCCAGGCCAGCCGGCCCAGTTTCTTTCAGGCCTGGGCTGGACAGTGAGCAGGAGGGATCAGAGACGGGATATGTGGCCCCTCCCCTTCCTATCCTGACCTCTCCTTCCGGGGCCAGGGCTGATGCCACAGCTCTACTGGGGTGGGGGCTGCCCAGAGTCAGGGAGTGAGTAGAGGAGGAGGCAGGGGGTTCAAGAGAACTAGAATATTCTTTGCTGGGGGCGGTGGTTGTGTCTCAACAGAAGAGGGTGTCAGTGTCCACTCAAGGTTACTATGCCCACCTACCCCTTGCAGAAAAATTGTATGGCTGCAGTGGCCCTGAGCTCCGCCGCTCCCTCTTCTCACTAAAGCAGATCTTCCAGGTGAGGCCCAGAGGTGGGCGGGGGTGGGCATCCAGCCTGAGCCCCCGTAAACTCCCCGTGGCACCCCCAGGAGGACAAGGACCTGGTGCCTGAATTCGTGCACTCAGAGGGACTGAGCTGCTTGACCCGAGTGGGTGCTGCCGCTGACCACAACTACCAGAGCTACATCCTCCGAGGTTAGCCCTGCACCGACCCACCCCCGTGATCCTGGCCCTCAGTGACCCCTTACTGACCTCTTCTTGTTTCTGTGTCCCCAGCAATAGGCCAGCTGATGCTTTTTGTGGATGGGATGCTGGGGGTGGTGGCCCACAATGAGACCGTGCAGTGGCTGTACACACTATGTGCCAGCCAGGTGAGTGGGCCTCCCCCCAGTCACGAACCCTCTTCCCACTGCCTCTGCCTGGGCCTCAGTTTCCTCTTCTGCAAGATGGGCTAGAATGGAGTTAGTCTGTGGCCCCTCTAACCCTAGAAAGCACTTCAATGCCTGGGCCTACAGCCAGGGTCTTTTTGCCAAGACTTTCCTCTCTGGGACTAGCCCCAGGAGCCCCGCCCCCTCCACACCAGGCATTGGCACAGGTCTGGCCCAAGCCCCACTCATACGTGGTGACCCCTCCCCCTAGTCCCGCTTGGTGGTGAAGACCGCTCTGAAGCTGCTGCTGGTGTTTGTGGAATACTCGGAGAGCAACGCGCCGCTCTTCATCTATGCTGTCAACTCTGTGGCCAGCACCACGGGTCAGAGACTGCCCCTCCCTCCCCTGCCACTCAGAGCCCTCTGTCCTACCTTTCTCCCCATGACTGCTCCCCCTTCTGTGTGGCAGGTGCTCTTCCGTGGGCCAACCTGGTGTCCATCCTAGAGGAGAAGAACGGTGCAGACCCTGAGTTGCTGGTGTACACAGTCACCCTCATTAACAAGGTGCGTGTTGAACCAAACACATGGCAACCAGATGCCAGTTCTGAGCTCCTCAGACTCCTGACTCCGGGGGCCCCCACCAGCCTTAGCCTTGCCCTCCTCCCTCCACCCTCTAGACTCTGGCAGCCCTCCCGGATCAGGACTCCTTCTACGATGTGACGGATGCACTGGAGCAGCAGGGCATGGAGTCACTGGTCCAGTACCACCTGGGCAATGCGGGCACTGACATCGACCTGCGAGCTCAACTTGTGCTCTACGAGGTGGGCAGGGCCACCAGGGCCCAACTGGAAGCAAGAGGAGGGGAGGGAGGGGGCGCAGTTCCCCAGCGCCCTGCTCTACCTCAGCGGCTCATATCTGGGCCCACATCTGCTAGAGCGCCCTGCGTTTGGAGGATGGAGACATCGAGGAAGCCATAGGTGGACGGCGGGAGCGGAGAAAGCCCTCTTCTGAGGAAGGCAAGAGGAGCCGCCGATCTCTAGAAGGCGGGGGCTGCCCTGTGCGCACCACGGAGCCTGGGTAAGAGCCGGCCTCAGCAGCTGGGGAGATAGGATGGATGGGCCAGGGGTAGCCCTGTCTCCTGACAGACCCCGCCTCCAGCCCCACAGGCCCCTCCTCCTCCACCAGCAGCCCTGTTACACCTACAAGCCCCGCACCCAGCCAGGTGGGCCCTGCCTCTGGCCTTTGTACCTCCGTGAACCTCTTCCCTGCCCTCTCCGTGGTGCCCGCAGCAGCTGACAGTTCCTGTGAGAGGAGCGTCTACAAGTAAGCAGGGGGATAGAGGCTGCCCCCGCCTGGAATCCTCTCCCTGACCTGTCCCTCTGCTCTGCTCCCTTCCATGGCCCTTCCGCCTCCTCTTCCCAAACGCGTGCTTTCTCTCTCTCTCTTTCCAGACTTCACCAAACTGCTCCTGTTTGGTAAGTGACTGCTGGGCGGTGGGGGAGGTTCGGCTCTAACTGGACCTCCTCCTCCTGAGGCTCCTCTTCATTTCTTTCTGGCATTCCACCTGCCTTGGCCAATGTCATCTGTCTCCCTCCCCCCTACTGTCTTTCCGTCACTGCCTCGGACTCCTGTGCTGCTCTGTCTTTGTCTCTTACTGCACCCTGTCGGGCTTCATGTCAGTCTCTGCCCTCCATTTATAGTTTCCTCTTGTCATGCCTTCCCCAACCCCCTCCTCTTCCCACCGTGGCCGGGAAAGGATCCCTGATAGCACTGCCCAGCTCTGTGTGGGTGTGAGCAGCTGGGCTTCGGGGTGGAGCTGGCACCACAGTTACTATCTCTTCTCTCATCCCCCCTGCCCAGGGCCCCTGAGAGCCCCCCTGCCCCCCAGCCCCCGGCTGGGCAGGCCAGGCTGGAGTAAGTACAGAAGCTAGCCTCCCAGGCCTGCCAGGCGCTCATGGCTTCAGCATTGCTTCCCGCAGCGGGGGTTCCGCCTGCCTGTGCAGCCAGAGCTGGGGGAGTCTCAGGCCCCTTCCCCCCCATACTTATCCCGACCTAAGGACTAAACACTGGGGTTAGCTCCCTGGTGTCGCAGTGGTCCCTGTGCTTCAATAGTGACAACCTCGCAGCTTTGACCAGAGATGAGGACGTGGACTCCCAACCTGCAACCTATTCTCCCGGGCCCTCGGGCCGGGAATAGAGCAGGGGGGGATCTGGGGTGCTGTGTGTTGTGGCGATGGAGGGGCAGCTTAGGGCTAAGGTAGGAGCAGGGACTCAGGGCCACCGGAAGCTGGAGGGGCCAAAAAGAGACTGGATCACATTCATTATTTCAACATAAACTGAGTGCAGGTCATCTACCAGGCCCCGTTCTGGGCACAGGTCAGAGCTCTCGGAAACGGCAGACTGGCCCAGGGAGGGATGGTCCACTGGGACAGCTGTCCCCTTCCTACGCTCCCAGGATCCTTGCCTAGAATCAGAACAATGAACATGAGCAGCAGAGTTGCTAGTTGGACACTAAGTAGAACTTCTTTCTCTCTGGATGCCGACCTGGGAATGCTGGGCTGGCAATGACCCTCCCCCGATGTGGAGGACTGATCGTGGGCTGGCCTCGGGCGTTCGGGTCCTGGGTCTGCTCAGCGTGCATGGTCTGTTGGTGTGCGTCTGTGTGCGCCTGCAACTGGAGGCAACGCCCAGGGGCCCAGCATGTGTACCACCCTGGGCTGGGGTGTGTCGGACAAGCTCACTGACGGGTGCCTCCCCCCAGAGCCCGGTTCCTGGAGAATGTGGCAGCGGCAGAATCAGAGAAGCAGGCTGCACTGGCTCAGGGCCGGGCAGAGGCACTGGCTGGGGCAGTGCCCGACGAGGCCGATGGGCGCCCAGGTGAGTCGGTGTGTGGGCAGAATTGACCCATGTCTCCCTGTTGCTCCACAGAGGGCATGACACTGGTAGCGGCTTCTCTTTTTTTAGATACCCGGGAACTCTGGGGTTCCCCCGAACCAGTCCCTGTACCCAGAACACTCCAGAGCCCTGCCCCCCGAGTCCTGCTCCGGGCCCAACAGAGCTTTGAGCCAGAGCCCAAGAAGCCACTGGCCCCACCAAGTCCCAAAGCCGAGCCCACCCAGGAGCTCCCTACCCATGTCCCCAAGCTCTGCATTGGGGACCTGGACTTCTCAGATCTGGGGGAGGATGAAGACCAGGACATGCTGAACATGGAGTCTACAGACACCGGAAAAGGGGTCCCACCCCCACCACCCCCACCGCCCCTGTTGTCAGGAGCTCCCCCACCTCCTCCACCCCCACCTCCCCCACCCATCAAAGGCCCCTGCCCGCCACCTCCACCCCCAGCTGCCCCTCTGCCCCCGTCAGCGCCCGACAGCCTGGCCCTCCCCACCAAGAGGAAGACAGTAAAACTCTTCTGGCGGGAACTTAAGCTGGCTGGGGGCCACGGAGGCTCCGGGAGCCGCTTCGGGCCCTGCTCCACCCTGTGGGCCTCCCTGGAGCCTGTCTCCGTGGACACCACCCGGCTGGAGCACCTGTTTGAGTCCCGTGCCAAGGACGTGCTGCCTTCCAAGGTAAACGCACCCCCATCTGCAAGGTAACCCCAGTGGAGAGGGGAGGGAATCAGAGCTCGAGGGTCCTAACGGCTGGGGCGGCCACTCATTTCCCACATGGGGAAACTGAGGCAAAGAAGGAGTGGGGATTTGTCTGAGGTCTCAGCAAGGGATCAGCAGAGTTCTAACCAACATCTGAGTTCATCCCAGGTCCCTGGTTGTAGGGTGACCCCTCCCTTTGGCCATTTAGATGGGGGTCTTAGAGTGCCCTCTTAGCTTGTTGCCCCAGCCAGTCCCTTTCCCAGTCTCACACTGCCCTTTCCCCAACCTCAAAGAAAGCCGGCGAGGGCCGCCGGACAATGACCACGGTGCTGGACCCCAAGCGCAGCAACGCTATCAACATCGGCCTAACCACTCTGCCACCTGTGCACGTCATTAAGGCCGCCCTGCTCAACTTCGATGAGTTTGCCGTCAGCAAGGATGGCATTGAGGTAGGGATACCCAGCTGGGGGTGTCACAGGGAGACGGGGGGTCTAGCCCTCTTCTTTGGTCAGTGGGTATTTCCTGTCCCTCCAGTGGTGGGCACGGGCTCGGCAGAGCAGTCCCCGGACCCTGCGGCCCCCACCCCAGAAAGTCTAGGGGAGGAGTCAAGACCAACGCTTGAGGACTCAGGCCAGCACTGAGTGGCCTGTTGGGGTGGTGGCTGTGTCCTCAGAAACTACTGACCATGATGCCCACAGAGGAGGAGCGGCAGAAGATCGAGGAGGCCCAGTTGGCCAATCCTGACATTCCTCTGGGCCCAGCTGAGACTTTCCTGATGACTCTTGCTTCCATCGGGGGCCTGGCTGCCCGCCTACAACTCTGGGCCTTCAAGCTGGACTATGACAGCATGGAACGGGTACCTGGGTCATGGGATGGGACAGGCAGTGGTGAACATGAAAACCATGTAGTCTAAGAGTCCCTGGCTTCCCACACCAGGAAATTGCGGAGCCACTGTATGACCTGAAAGTGGGCATGGGACAGCTGGTGCAAAATGCCACCTTCCGCTGCATCCTAGCCACCCTGCTGGCTGTGGGCAACTTCCTCAATGGCTCCCAGGTGAGTGATGGCACATGGGGGCTGGGGGCCAGGCTCTGGAACCACCCAGGCCCAAGCTCAAACAAGGTCCTTTCAGAGCAGTGGCTTTGAGCTGAGCTACCTGGAGAAGGTGTCAGAGGTGAAGGACACAGTGCGCAGGCAGTCACTGCTGTACCATCTCTGCTCCTTGGTGCTCCAGACGCGGCCAGATTCCTCCGACCTCTACTCAGAAATCCCCGCCCTGACCCGCTGTGCCAAGGTTAGCACCAGCCAGAGGCTCAAATAAGACTGGGCACGGCGAGGGAATGCTGCTGCTGGGGCTGGCTTCCCCCCCCCCCCCCCACCAACTTCAGCTGTTGTGCCAGGGCTTGCTCGGCTGCAGGTGTTCGTCAGGGCTGTGTCCTCTTTCAGAAATGCTTTCCTCTATTGGCCTGGCTACACCTACTCAGTCTTCGGGTCTCAGTTTAGCTGCCATTTCCCCCAGGAATCTCTATTCCCCACTGGGTCAAGTGGACTTGTCTGTCTCCCGCAGCAGACTGCGAACCTTCGGAGGGCAGGGGCTGGATCTTGTCTGTGTTCCTATGGCCCAGGCTGACCAGCCTGGCAGAGGCAGCCTCAGGCAGTGCCTTCTTATTGGGGGACAGCCTGTGGACTCCTGCTTTTCCAGGTGGACTTTGAGCAGCTGACCGAGAACCTGGGGCAGCTGGAGCACCGAAGCCGGGCAGCCGAGGAGAGTCTGCGGAGCCTGACCAAGCACGAGCTGGCCCCAGCCCTGCGTGCCCGCCTCACCCACTTTCTGGCCCACTGTGCCCGACGTGTTGCTATGCTGCGAGTAGTACACCGCCGTGTCTGCAACAGGTGACATCAGCCCGAGAGGCAGGACTGCCACCGCTGTCCCTCACACCCAAGCAAGGCTCACCATCCCTTCCTATCCTGTCCTGCCCAGGTTCCATGCCTTCCTGCTGTACCTGGGGTACACGGCACAGACAGCCCGTGACGTGCGCATCATGCAGTTCTGCCACACGCTGCGGGAGTTTGCGCTGGAGTACCGGACTTGCCGAGAGCGGGTGCTGCAGCAGCAGCAGAAGCGGGCCACCTACCGTGAGCGCAACAAGACCCGGGGACGCATGATCACCGAGGTGGGAGCCCCTTCCAGGTTTTGACCACCACCCCCATGGTTTCCCTCCCCGGGTCCCGGCTCATTCTTCTCCCTTCTCCAGACAGAGAAGTTCTCAGGTGTGGCTGGAGAAGTCCCCAACAACCCATCTGTACCAGTGGCTGTGGGTAGTGGGCCAGGCCGGGGTGATGCAGACACTCACGCCAGCATGAAAAGTCTGCTGACCATCAAGCCTGAGGACACCACACACAGCCGCCGTAGCAGAGGTGGGACCTGTGGCCACTAGAGGGAAAGGGTTTTGCTTTGGGGCCACCTTAGCCTGACCTCCGTCTCTGGCCTCCCTCAGGCCTGGTCCCGAGCAGCTCCCCAGTCATGCCCACAGCAGTGGGGCCCTCCACTGCACCGCCAGAAGAACCCCCAGGCTCCAGTTTACCCAGTGACACTTCGGATGAGATCATGGACCTGCTGGTGCAATCAGTGACCAAGAGCAGTCCTCGTGCCTTAGCTGCTAGGGAACGCAAGCGTTCCCGTGGCAACCGCAAATCTTGTGAGTACTCCCCACACGCCCACGCCCGCTTTATCCCCATCAATCCCCTCCAACCCTGCTCTGTCCCTGCAGTGAGACGGACATTGAAGAGTGGACTCGGAGACGACCTAGTGCAGGCACTGGGACTTGGCAAGGGACCTGGCCTGGAGGTGTGAAGGCGCTGCCTCCAGGATGGATATCTGTCTGGGCCACAGCCTGCATGCAAAAGACTATAGAGAAAGGAGGGTTCAGAGCAGAATTCTGGGCATCTCCTCAACCCCGGGGTGACTCTGTGCCTATGGCCAATGCCTTGAACAGTATTAGCTGTGTGTGTGTGCGTGTGTGTGCGAGCGAGCTCCCTGAACATGTGGAGCATAATAAAGTTTTCTTAGCCAATCCAAAAGCCTTCATCTTCTTTTAAGGAACAGACCACGTTAATTCTATAGCAAAAGGGAAATACCAAAAGCATAAGCTCTTGCCTCATCATCACCCACACAGCCATTAGTCACATTCTGAGCATTTTATTCAACAATCCTATGCCTTAGACTGCTTTTGGCTCCTGGACTAGGCCCTCATTATTCCTGGCATGGGGCCATGCAGCCTGATAGAGCCCCCCTAGAGCCCAACAGCCTGTGGTCACAATGTTATAACTGTTCAATGGCTATAATCGTTTCATCTGCCGCCGTTCCTGTCGGCGCTGCCTTTTCTCGTTGTGCTCTGGCGCTGGGGCACCATTATCTGCCGTGAACCAAGGGCCCAGTACATTCACCCACAGCAGGTAAAGGGCCCGGCCTGGAGCCTAGGAGAGAAAAGGTCACTTGAAGCCAGGGTCAGGAAATGAAGGAAGGGTAGGGTTAGGTGCCCCAGCCCCTCCTTGGGAGCCTAACAAGCCACGTACCAGAAGCCAGAAGGACCAGATGTAGAGGGAAAAGCAGCTGAGCACCTGCACAATGGCCGTCAACAGGATCACATCCTTAAGGTGCCTGCGGATAGAAGGGAGACTTCAAGAGCCAAAAATAGTAGATGGGCCCCCATTCAGCTCCCACCCTCTTTAAGTTGCAGGCAGCTGTGGGTCTTGGGCTATCTGGGCCCCAGCACCACAGCCCTGGGGCCGCTCACCTGGGCTGGCAGCGGGGGACACTCACTCTGCCATGCCCTGTTCCATGTTGAGGTCCATTCCACCATCCATCAGGGCCCCATCCTCAGAGAAGGCCGCCTGTGCCATTGACCTCATAGAGTGGTAGCTGGCCCCATATACTGCCAGACTAAAGCCCAGGGCCATCTACAGAACAAGAACGGGGGTATCAAAGGCCAGCCCCCAACCCTATGTGCTCACCCACTTCCCAGAATGGGGAACACTTACCCAGGCCCAAAATGAGGCAGATGAGTAGAAGAAGAACAAGGTCACAGAACAGTAAATGGCCTGTAAGTAGACATAGAATCAGGCTAGGATCCAAAGCTACCCTTAACCATGGACCTCCCTTGACTCTGACCATGAGACCAGGCTGTGTAAGGAGGCAGGTTATTTCTTATAGGGTTGGGGAAGCAGGGGTCTACTCCCCCAGTACTCCCCTGAGTGCACAGACTGCTCTGACACATCAGCCTAGGAAAGCAGCCTCCATATTTGGGGTCCTAAGGGCTCTCCAGTCCATCCTCGTTTTGTTGTTTTGTTTTGAATACTCAATATTTTCCCCGTACAGGATCTATTCTCTCTCTCTCTCTCTCTCTCTCTCTCAATTAGTTTTCTTCTGGAGGCTTGACTCTCACATACATCACCGCCGCCACAGCCCCAGCAGAGCAGAGGATTGTGGGACCTTGGGTAGGCACAGCAACAAGGAGCCAGGCACTTACATTGGCCCCCAGTATGATCCGCAGGTAGAACTTCAGGGTCTCTTTGTTCTCTTCAAATATCTGCTTCTTCCCTCTTGTCCCCACTTTGCCCTTGGGCTGCAGAAGGATAATGAGATGCTTGTCAGAGCCCTCCTCAGCAAGGTCCTCCTCATCCTCCCCACGAGCCTGGTTAGCTACCGAGTTCCGGTTGCACTTCGGCCAGTGCTCAAACCTCGCAAAATCCTTGGGATGCCCACCCCTCCTCCAGTCAATCCTGGTTAAGGCTGAGAGCATCTTTCCAACAGCCCTAGAGATGATCGCCTCCTGCACACCCTCGAATCCAACACCAGGCTGATATCGGCGGGTTTCCCTGGTAAGGTCCAGCTTTGGGCTTACGATCAAGGGGAACTCCTGAGTAGCGTTGAACAGTGCCCCTCTATGGCCTCCGCTGGAGCAGACCAGATCTCGGCTGACGCCCACACCCTTCAGGCCCCTCAGATCTTTGGCCTACTCTGGTACTGTTACACCGACGCCCACCCCTACTCCCGCACCAGTTCCGGTTCGGTCCTGCGCCGCTCCCTTCCACCCACTTCGCTCCAGTACAGTCAGGTCACTGAATAACACCTCCCTCTGGCCGACCCACTTCTCTTGATATCCTTCCTCTGTTTTCAGTCTCCCAGCCCTGGGAGAGCTTTGCCGGTGCGGACCCCGCCCTACTCGCCCTCCTTACCGCCATGGTGCGACGCAAATACCCAGCCGGGGAGACAAGGGAGAGCGAAAGAAACCGCAGTCACTAGGTACCACATCGGCAGCACAGGCACTTCCGGTGCAGACCCAAATCGTCACAGCTGGGACGGAAGTGAGTGGTCCACTTCCTTCCATAGTCCCGCCCCCAGAGCCTGCGAGACTACACTCCCCAGATGCCTTGCGCGGGGGCGGAGGCGGCAGGGATGCTATGGCGGAGTCGCTGCCCCTGGAGGTGAGAGGAGGCCTCCCTCAGGCCTAGCTCGGGACAGGCCCCGCCCTCGGGGTCCCGGGCTGTGGGGAGGGGCTGTCAGGCTGCTCGCCGGGTCCCGCCTGCCCGGCGGAAACGACCGGTCCGGGAGATCATAGGACATGCAAGCTATGGGTAACGGCTCCGCCTTGGGCCACTCCGTCTCCTTAGTAGAGGGGCATCCTTTTCTTCCCCATCGGGCCCAGGATGGCTGTTCTGTTACCTCAGAGAAGATAGGGCCTCTGCCTGCCCATCTTCTCTTGAGAGGGCCTCCCCTCCCCCTCATTTCTAGAAGATGTCTGCTCCATCCCGTCGTCCCCGAAGGGTAACCGATCTTACCGCCATTGGCCCCTTGGGATGATCGTTCCATTCCCTCCACCCTGAGAGATGGCTATCTCCTACCTCTGGCGGTGGGAGACAAACTGCCCCTCCCATCAACCCCGGGGATGGTCACAGAGTTCTGTCACCGAGGACAGGCCTGCTCCCCATTCCTTCCGCCCCCAGTGATGGCCGTCCTACCTCCTTGGCCCCTAGGGATGTTTGCTCTTTCTTAGCCTGAAGCAAGACTTCTCTGCTGCCGTTGTTCAGAGAGGATGACAGGTTTGGTCCCCACTGGACTCTTGGGATGTCCTCTCCATACTTTTCTGAGAGTTGGCCGCCCCTTCCCGCTGCCCACAGGGGACAGGGCATCCTTTCCCCATCAACCCGGGAAAGGCTCTCCTTCCCCTTAGCAAAAATAGGACTGCTCCCACCCTGTTGAACCCCCCATCATGACATCCTTTACCCCTTTGGTCCCAGAGGTTATCTACTTCATCCTTAAAGATCCCAGGAACGGCCAATCATACCTCTAGTAACCCCTTGGGATGGGGTTCATGGGATGGCACTCCATCTTTATCACTGTCTCCTCTGGTCCCTCTAGAAAGGCTATTCCCTTTCTTAGCTCAAAGAATCCCCTGAGTGAGGATGGGTTTTCTGCCCTCCACCTTTGATCCTTGGGTTGGCTGCTGAGCCCCAGAAGATAGGATGGGCACTGTCTTATCTCAGCTTAGACAGGCTTCCCTGCCTCCCCCTGGGGTTGGGGACTTGTTCATTCCCAGTCCCCATCAGTGTTCTCTTCCTCATGTCTAGCATTCCTCACCCAGAAGGCTCTTCTCCCTAGTCATTCCCTCAGTAATTGATCTGCTTTATCTCCCCATCCCAACGAACCTCCAATGAAAGTAGAGGTAGAGGACTATCCATCCTTACCTCAATCCAATAAGTATGGGCTGAGCACCCTCTGTGAGCTGGGGATGAGAGAAGAGGAGATCAGAATGGGCTGATGAGATGAAGCTTAAAGAAGGGCATTCCAGGAGAGAGACCCACATGGGCAAAGAACACAGATAGACATGCTGTGTTTGTAGGACAGAGGAGAGACTGGGTTGGGGAAGCTCTGGGATCAGGGGTCCGGGTGGGCAGGGAGGCATGGCAGTGCGGGCCCAAGAGTGGAGATTCTGCCCCTCTGGTACTGGGATGCCCCGGAGGTTTTCATCAGGGGTGTGTTGAGACTGAAAGGTGCGTCTTAGAAGCGTTAACCTTGCTGCAGTGCGCAGGATGATTAGCAAGGGTGAGCCTGGAGGCGGGAAGGTCAGCTGGAAAATAGTGGAGGGAATCCAGGTTTGAATGATGAAAATCTGGCTACGAAGTAAAGTTTCAAGAGTAGAAGTGTTAGTAACAGCAATCCAGTGACCACTTATGGACTGCCTAGTAGGTGTCAAGCACATCATATCCAGTTTATATATATAAAGTATAGACATATATATAACTTTTTTGTGTGAAAACAGGACTCGAACCAGTGACCTTTCGGTTCTCAGCCTGGCACTCAGTCCACTGAGCCACACCAACCAGAGTGGATTATATATAATTTAATCCCCATAAGACTATGACCTAGATTTTCTAATATCCCCGTTTTGTAGGTGTGGAAACTGAGGCTCAGAGAGGTCAAGTACCTTGCCTGAGGTCACATAAGTTACACAGTGAGAAAGCAGTGAAGCTGGGATTTGAGTGAGGCTATGTTAGCCTGGCCTAGAGCCTATGTGTTACACCTGTGTCTGAGAGCAAGGGACAGACCAGCAGACGGGTACAAAGTATTGTCAGACTCTTCAGAGGAGGTGCACTGCCAGCATTGAAGCTCAGGTGCTAGAAAGGTGGGAGGTGGGGTGCTTTGGACTGAGGGCAGAATATGAATTCTGGATGGGACAAAGGTGATGGTAAAATGTTTGGATGAAAGCTCCTGTGGGCAGCTGGCAGCACTGGACTAGCACATGAATAGGACATCATGTGGATATTGATTGTTATTCCTATAGCAGTAACTGTTGAAGCCATGCAAGTGCATTTATTATCCTAGAAAGGAAACAGGCTGAAAGACCCAGGTCCAAGCCCTGGGAACCACAGAAGAATCCAGAAACGGCAGTTGGAGTGATGAGTGGAGCCCTAGAAAACACAGTGTCACAAGAGTCAAGGAAGGAAGATTTCAGAAGAAAAGAAGAGTTGATATTAGGTCATTCCTGGCCTCACAAATGACTCCCTTCCCAGTTCCCTGTAGTAGGGCCTCCAGCCTCATCCCCCCAGCCTCATAGAACATCAGTGGAGCGAAGGCCTGAGCCTCCCAACCTGGGCCTTGCTAGGATCATACCCTCCAGCTGAGAAGGCAGGCTGGAGGGTATGATGAGGTTGGAGGGTATGATGAGGGTATGATGAGGTCAGAGGCAGTGGGGAAGATGGGAAAAGAGTGGTTTCCGAGATCTTGGCCTGTGAGGGCAGGAGAAAGGAATGTAGCTTCCTGAAAATCAGGAAGGAGCCCCTAACTTGCTGGGTTCTAGATCCTACACAAGACATGTTACTGTTAATTAACTCTCAGAATAACCCACTTCAATCTCACTACAGTTGCCATTTTACAGACAAGGAAAACAGGCTCAGAGAGGTCAGTTGATAGGTAATGATTTAAATTAGGTTTATCTGGTCTCAATGCCCAGGATCTTTTTACCAAACGGGGCAGGAAGCTTGGTTTGTATCCGTCTGTACAAGCCTGCGTCCAGACAGTGCTTAGGCAGGGTTTGCTCACAGTGAAGGTACTTGGGAGGTGAAGAGGGGACGCGAAGAGCCAAATGCACTAGAAACCAGTGCTGGAGTCCCCTCCGGCCTAGCGCGCTATCAGCCAGAGAAAGTTCCGAAGGCCCCCGGCTCTAACAGCCCCCAACGCCTGTCTTTTTCCCTCAGATACTCACATATATTCTGAGCTTCCTGCCTCTGTCAGATCAGAAAGAGGCCTCTCTCGTGAGTCGGGCTTGGTACTATGCAGCCCAGAATGCCCTTCGGGAGGTAAGGTGCCCACCCTCACCCGGCCCGTTCTCAGTTGTCTCATGTCAGCTTGCTCATGGCTGCGCTCATACATCATCCACCCATCCAACCATCATATGTATCCGTACATACATCACTTTCATACATGGCTCTGGGTACCATGCTGAGGATACTGAGGTACAGTCCCCCTGAAGAGCCCAGAGTCCTGTGGAGGAGAAAGACAAGTGATCGTAATATCGTGTGCTTGGGGCCGTGGCACTGGGATGAAGGGTGCAGCTGGGAACATGAGGAAGGACAGCCAGAGGAGACCAGCAGCATCAGGGAGGGCTTCCTGGAAGAACAGGAGGAGGAGGAAGGTCGGCCTTCCAGGACTGGTAGCAGCACAGGTGAAGGCACCAAGGTGTGAGATAGTTCTGGAAACGACCACACATGTTCCCTAGGGCTGGGACCTAGGTGTATGTGGGAGAAGTGGCAGGAGGTCAGTCTGGAAAGGTCAGACGACAAGCGGGCGCATGTGCCAGGCGGCATTGCCGGGGCTTTCCCTGGTTCCCATCCAGAAGCCTTTAAAGGAACGTTCAGGCTGGGGAGTGACACGGGGTGATTGGTGTCCTAGAAATCTGCAGTGCAGAGTGGGCCGGAGAGGGCGAGGCGGTGAGGGAGACCGCCCAGCTAGGAGGCGGATGCAGACATCTGTCCCAGCCGGAAGGGCAGGCAGCGGTAACTCTTTGTTTTATTTTTCACTTATCTGATGATTACTGAGTGCAAACAGGTCTCTCATTAGCTGGCCGTTTATATTTCCCTCTTTTGTTTGTTCATGCTCTTTATCCATTTAACTGTTGGGGTCTTGGTGTTTTTCTTATCTGTTTGTATGAAATTTTTATACATTAAAGAGATTCATCTTTTACATATTTATTGAAATATAGTCCTAGTATGTTTGCCTTTTCATTTGGTTTATAGATGTGTTTACTTGTGAGATAGAGGCTAAATTTCTATGGTGTTGATTTTGTCCATCCTTTTCTTTCTTGTTTCTTCCATTGAGTTTTAAAGTTAGAGATCCCTTGCCGCTTCAGAGGTTTGATAAATACACCCTCATGTTTGTCTTCTGGGTTTTTTTATTATTCAGCTTTACTTTTGTAGAGCAGTTTTAGGCTCACAGCAAAAAAAAAAAAAATGTTTCTTCTGTTTTACAGTGTGAATCTTTATATTAATTGTTGTACTGGTGAAATTATTTTGATTTATGCTATGAGATAGAAAGAAGCTAAGCTGATTAGTTTTCAATTAGCCCAAACACCATTTATGTTTAATCTTCCCTTCCCCTTCCCTGCTGGATTAGAACCCTCCTCTGCCACACATGAAACGTGGAGGGTCTGTTTGTCGAGTTGTCCTCCTCTGTCACTGAGCTTACTCTCTGAAGGAATTTGATTTGGACTTCTTTAAAACTTGAAGTGTGAGACATCTAAATGGTAAAATCTAGTTGGTAGTTGGATTTCTGGGTGAGGAACCCAAGAGAAGGGTCTGGATAAGAAATATCCATTTGGGTGTCGTTTAAAAATGCGTGGCAGTTGAAGCCGTGGACGTCAGTAAATTCCCTCAGGGGGAGCATGGGGAGCCCCAGAAACAGCAGACCACAGAGAGCGAGAGTCCACGGGCGTGGAAGGGAGCAGGAGCCCTGGGGGCGGGGGCAGGAGACCCCAGCAGGAGGAGGGCCCCGAGGTCAAAGGCAGAGAGGACGCAACGTGGAGGACGAACTGGCAAATCCCAGGAGGAGCCTGGAAATCAAGAACAGATCATATCCGTAACTCTTGCCACCCGGGAAGGTCACCCACAGCTTCAGCAACTTTTGGCGGCTGGGGAAAAATAAACAGATGGATTGAGGGGTGCGTGAGGGAAGAAAGGAAGTGCAGAGAGTGACCTCGCTTGCGAGAAATTTCCCCACAAAAGGAAAGGAGTAACTCGGGCAGTGATGAGAGGCTGAGGGGGGCTTAGCAAAAGGAGCTCCGTTGGGAGGAACCTCGGTGTGCTTCCCTGCCTGCCGAAGGGAAGCACTAGAGGAGGGGGCGTGCCGGGCGGACAGGGGCCGGGAATGGTGGGCGCCCCTGGGGTGGCGGGAGAGGCGGCTTCAGCGAGCCAGGCTGGGTCTCTGATGAGCCAGAGAGATTGCCCCCGCTGCTGCTCAGGAGCTAGAGGCGTGGGGGTAGCAATATGGGGCCATTTGCTGTGGAAGTTCCTCGGAGGCTGGTGGCCTCCTCGCTTAATGCATGTGGCAGCCAAATGGTGTGAGGGGAGCGAGAAGGGAAGGAGGAGCCGGGGGCCGCAGCAGAGAGGGTTGGGAGTCTCACAGGGCAGGGGGACGATGGAGAGTCCCCAGAGGCACACCGGAGGGCCTCGGTCACTCGGAGTCCGTGCTGCCCACCGGGCCTAGCCCTGTGCGGGGGCCTGGGGGCTGCGGAGGGCGCAGAGCTCGGGAGTTGGGAGGGAGAGGGAGACAGCAGAGTCCAATTGAGGGGCTGGGGTGCTGCCCTCGGAGTCTTGTGAAGCACAGCAGGGGCGCAGAGGAGAGATTCAGAGAAGATTCCATGGAGTGGGGAATGCTTGGGCTGAGTCCTGAAAGAATTAAAATGTGCTGAGTAGACAAACAGGAATAGGTGAGGGGTAGGACACGGCCCCCCACACACACCCCCCCCCCCCAAGACAGAACAAGCAGCTGAGCAGAGGCTGGCAGCAGGAGACAACAGTCAGAGGTTGGCATCCCCAGAGCTGGGGGTGGGGAGGAAGGGGGTGCTGGCGTGGGGAGGCTGAGGCCGGGGAGTAGATGGGGGTCTGACATAGAAGGGCTCCAGTGTCGGCCAGGAAGCTCAGCCTCTGTCCTGGGAAGTGAAGAACCATCAGAGGGTCAATCAGGGTCCATTTGCCTTTTTCGAGGATCACTGGTGACAACAGCGAGGATAAGTAGAGCCAGAGAGACTGGAGGCCAGGACCCCGGTCTCCAGCAGGAAGCTGCTGTAATATATGTTTGACAGACACTGAGGCAGAAGCAGTGAGGTGCGAGCAGAGGGGCGTATGGCAGTATATCAAGGAGAGGGCATGGGAGGGACTTTGGCCATTGGAGGTGAGGGAGGAGTCAGGATGACGCCCAGACTTCCAGCTGGGGTAACCTGCTGGAGGGCGCTGAGGGTCTAGAAGAAGGGCAGAGTTGGGGGTAAGACAGTGAATTCAGATCTGCGGCTCCAGTGTATCCGGAGAGAGGTCCATCGGGTAACCGGCTTGCAGGGTCTGCTGTCCTGGAAAATGACGCCGACCACAAAGTAGCCCTAATGGGATGAAGTGCAGCCTGCCCCAGTGGGGAGTGAGTGGCAGGGGAAGGAAAGGTGAGAGGGAGAAAGTGGAAGAAACCTCGGGGAACCCTCTTGCCTACAGACTCGGTCTTTCTCTTTTTTGGTGACCCCAAAAGAGGCCTACGGGGAGGAAACCAGAAGGTCGGAGGGAAGCCAAGAGGGCAGAGTCTGAGAACCCACAGTGGGAGACAGCTCCAGGGGGAGACCGGCCACCCACACAGGGGGCACGGCAGAGGTTGATGGCCCTCCCGGAGGGGGGCTGTTGCCAGGAACAAGCGGCTCTGTGGTGGCAGTGGGCGGAGGGTGTGCCCACGTGCTTCCAAGAAGCGTGGCTGTGGAGGGAAGGGGAGAGGAGAGGTGAGAAGGGGGTGCAGGGTCAAGGGAGGTTTTTTGTTGTTTAAGACCCTGGGGCATCTGTGGACTCTGGGGAAGGCGGGGGGGGGGGGGGGGCTCAGCAGACCAGGAAGGGCGTTGTGTTGAACTAGACAGCAAGAGAGGGGAGGAGGGGGGGGGTGGGCTCTGCCAGGAGTGGGCTGGTGGGTGTGGTGAGGAGAAGGCCTTTCCACTGATGGCTTTGGCTTCTTCTAGAAACAGAGTAGGTCACCTCTGAGAAGGCTGGAGCGAGGGAGGGTGCCTCAGATTAGCCTCGGTGGCTGGAGGACAGGGGGCCTGGAGAGAATTCTCAAGGGGGATGAGAAGAGCTGGGGATGGGGGCCAGGAGTGGCCATTGCTGACGGTGCAAGCCCGAGGGGAGACCATGGCTTTCTCCACATAGAATCCCCCAGAACTCCTGCAGAATTCTGTATCCGCAGCACACACCCAGGGGAGGCAGCGGGCAAAGAGGATGGGTACAACAGCGTGCTGGCTGGGGCCACGAGGACCCTGAGGAGATGTAATCAGGGGAGAGACCTCTTGGAGCCCAGCAAAGAAGAGGGCAGAAGAAGCAAAGTGGGCAGTCAGGCCCTGGGCTGTAGGTGAGATTGGAATAGGAGTTAAGGGAGTGAGGTGAAGAAGAGGCGGGGTCAGAGTTGGGGATCTTAGAGCTGGGGCTGCTCCAGATAGAACATCGACAGAGAACAGTTTGGTGCTTCTGCAAAACCCAGCCCCCCTGGGCTGGCAGCACTGGGAGGCCAGGCCCCAGGTACCAGGGTATCTAGGGCCCTGCTGACACCACCACCACGTCCCAGAGAGCAATCTGCAGAACCTGCAGGCAGGAACCATCTTCCAGGGCCCGGCGTGCGCAGGGTGATAAGCAGGTAGTGCCCCAGCCAGCAGGAGCTATGGAAGATTCTGGCTCGCCAGGCCAGGCTGGGATACTGGACTTGGTGACTTCTTATTCTCCCTGACCTGCCCTACTTAATCCCAATTTTCCCAAGTAAGAAGGTAGACAAAGGCAGCACCCCCACATACACCCAGGGGTGTCTCCCAGGGGTGGGGTGGTGGGGGCTGGTTGCCGGCTGCTGGGTTAGTCACTGGGGAGAATCATGACACCTCAGCTTCTGCCCTCCTCTGCCTCCTGTTGCCTGAGGTGTTTATGAAGACCTGGAGGTCTGGCTCCTCTCTAGAGACCAAAGCCCCAGGGCCTGTGTTTTCTCAGAGGCCTTCTTGAAGACAGGTATGCTAGCTTTGGATCCCTGTACCAGCAGACAGAGGGCCATTTCTCTAGCAGATGGCCCTCCAAGCCTGCACCCAGGCCTGCGGCCTCAGCTCCGGCTTCAGTAGGTGCAATGAAATGCTGCTGGCCCCTGTGACAAAGGATGTGTCACTTTGGGCAGGTGCAGGGCATTTCCCAAATGACTGCATTTCCTCTTAAGATACCGGCATTGGGAAAAGAGGAGACCAGAGGCAATTGGCCCCTCAGTGGACAGGGCTGCTAAGACTGGAATAGGTACCCTTCCTCGAGCCTCCTCCGGAAGCATCTTCCAAGGGCTGGGGGAGGGGCTTTGCTATACCAGGGCCAAAGACAAGGGCCCAGGAGCCTGTTCCTTCCGCCTGCTGCTCTGCTCCCAACAGATGACACACGTCCCCAAAAGGCTGTTCCTGGGCTCCTGCACTTGGAGTCCAGGCCACCGGGGTGGTGACTCATAGGCTGCCCCCTTCCCACCAAGAAAAATGGTGGGGAGCAGGGAGGTGGGCGAGCTGGAAGGCCTTTAGGCCAGGCCCCGTCCCTTTGTCCAGTGGCTCTTGCTGCTGCTCCCAGCCAGCCCTGGACTTGGACCCTGGGCTGACTGCCAGTGCCCTCCCGCAGCTGTTTGTCTACCTTGTTCCCAGGGAGGCAGCGGGAGAGGGGGAACATCCCTGACCCTCTAGGCCTGGGGAGGAAGGGAAGAAGAAAGACTGAAGGCACAGGGAGCTGGGGCCTATAGTGTAGCACGTGACTGAGGGGGTGGGGGTGCTGCCCTGGCAACCAGCAGGCTCTGCACTCCCCCAGCACGGTTCACTCCATGCAGCATCTGGCACGCAGGGCTCTGACACGGTTGGAGGCCGGCTTTACCTTTCCTTTCTAAAACCTCTTCTCCCTGACCTTTTCATCGCCCTCCCCACCCTCACACTGGGATCTTCCCCAGCTCTCCTAACTCTGAAAGGGGGGCCCAGGTCCTTGGGAGTACCCCTACCCCACTGTGTCCCTGTGTCCATGAGGGGATTTCGGGGGCGGGGAGCGGTGCTGCTCTCACCCTAATGACCATGTTCGGGGAGTAGGGTGCGGGAAGGGAGCTTGGTTTGACTCCTGGTTCCTGTGGAAGCGGCCAGGAGCTGGTCCCCATCACTTACCATGTGCTCCCTCCCGTGCTGACAGCAATGGGGCCCTAGGTGGCTGCTTCCTTCTGGCGGAGGCCGGGCTGGTTTCCCCACACCTGGCGATGAGCTCCGTGTGTCTCTGGGAGGATCCTGTTGTTAAGCATCTTGCAGGGATGCCTATTATGTGTCATCTCTAGCTTTCTGCGTCCCTTTGAAGCTGTGCTGTGGGGTACAGCAGGGAACCAGAGCCTGTTCTTACTGCTGCCAACAAGGCGGGTTTTTCAGGGAGCTCACTCTCCTGCATCAGGACCGTGTCGATAGGCCGAAACGAGAGCCTGGCTTGGTCCCACTGCCTGCAACCTGGGCACCCTCAGGTAGAGAAACAGCGCTAGGATCTTAGAAGCCAAGCCCTCCTCTCCCCTCTGCCACAGACCTGTTCAGCCAAGACCTGTACCAACTGCCCTTTGGCTCCCTCTGGCACGAGGTCAGGGAAAGTTTTGTGAAAAATCCCCTTAGCTGGGGCAGCCCTAAACTCCTGCACAAGCCAGTGTACTCCTGCAATGACTTAGCCCTGAGCTACCCCCCACCCTCCACCCCTGCCACAGCCGTGTCGTCTCCTCTCTCGCCCCTGTTCCTCTACAGCAAGGCCAGCTCGGCTTCTCTGATACTCATTCTCTTAGTTCCTGCCCCCAGAAATGGAGGCTTCTCTTTCCTTACTGGGATAAGACGGACCCTCCAGAAATGAGCCTCAGGGGTCACAAGCACACCCTGAACTCTGGAGCCCGTGGAGCTCACCCGTGTTAGCATGTGCACACACATTTGCATGCATGCACATATTTTCACTTACAAAACCCATTTTTGCAAGTGTTTGTGTGGCCGAGACACCAAAGCCACCAGGGGACCTGGGCCTCTGCCTGCCCTGGACCTCTGGCATCTGGGCCACAGAAGGTTGTAGTCAATGACACCTGCCTCACTTCTTCCTGTTCTGAGGGCTATTTATATGCTTTCGAGAAAGTAAGGGAGGCTGGTTGCTTAGCTCAGGCCAAGGGCTGAGTCCATGGGTCTCAGGGCCACCTTCTCAAAGTCCCAAAGGTTGGGGTCTAACATAATTTGTCCTGCTTCCTAGAGGTTTTGCTGGGTCTCCTCTGGGCCCCCCAACCCTCCTGTACCCAGCACGCCAGCTCACCACAGGACTCCATAGGCATCCAGACCCATCCAGCACTAATTGCCCTGCCCTCCTAAGTCATCCATCCCCTTGAGCCCCAGTGTGACTTGTCCTCCCAGCTCCCAATTTCCACCAGTGCCTCTCAACCACACATGACGTCACATACTACAGGGGTCCCCTTGTAGAAGGGCCCTTCCCTGACCTGCCCTCAACCTCTAATCAGCAACTTGCCCCCAGACCTGATGCCCATCACCCTCTGAGACCAGAGAGCTAACCCAGGCCTGCTGCTGCCCTTTAGACAAACGTGCGGTACAACATCCCCGTGTCCTCGGCCTCCCTCCCAGCCATCGAGAGCCTGGGCCTCAGGGGCATCTCCTGCATCGGCCTGACCAACCTGGATGGCTCGCCAGCCTCACAACAGGTGCTGCAGTCTGTTGCCTACCACCTGGGCCCGCACCTGCAGAGCTTGTGCCTCAGTGGGGGCAGCCCCACAGAGGCCTCCTTTGTGACCCTGATCCTGAGCTGCCCAGCTCTGCGTAGCCTTGACCTCAGTGGCTGCAACAGCCTCTTTGCATCAGGCATGCTGCTAGCTCAGCCTGAAATGGCACAGCGGGTCCACCAGGCACTGAGCAATCTCCGTGAGCTCAACCTGGCTGGCCTGCGAGACCTGGCAGATCTCAGCTTCAATCGGCTCAGCAGTTGTGCCCCCAGCCTGGAGCGCCTCTCCTTGGCCTATTGTCACCTCGCCTTCGAGGTAGGCCCAGCCCGGGGCTCCATTGGCCCCCGGGACTCCTCCCCCTCCCAACTCTCCTTCTGCAACCTGCTTCGATTCTTGAAGGAGCGGGCTGGTAGGCTGTACGCCCTGGACCTGAGTGGCACCGGCTTGCCGCCTGAGGCCCTGCAGGCCCTGGGCCAGGTGGCCGGGCTACGGCTTCAGGAGCTGAGCCTGCAGAGCTGCCGGGACCTCTCCACAGAGGCTGTGGCCGCCCTTTGCCTCTTGCAGCCGGGCCTTACCTCCCTGGACCTCAGCGGCTGCTCAGAACTGGCCGACGGGGCGCTTTTGGCTGTGAGCCGGGGTCTGCGGCACCTGCAGCGCCTGAGGCTGAGGAAGCTGCAGCGGCTGACAGATGCAGGGTGTACAGCCCTGGGGGGCCTGCACGAGCTACAGAGCCTCGACATGGCCGAGTGCTGTCTGGTGAGCGGGCGGGAACTGGCCCAGGCCCTGGGCTCGGTGCGCGGAGCTCCACCCCCCCTGGCCTCCCTCAGCCTGGCCTACTGCTCCTCACTCAAGGTGAGCCTACCATCCCCTTCCTTCCTCACCAGGGCCGGAAGCTGGGGGGGCTGGGTGTGCAGCACCAGCAGGGAGCTGCCCGGTGTTTGTGTCCAAGGAATAGTAGTTAGAACTGAACTTGGGACCCAGTCTGGGACGGGGAAGGAGCCTAGACCAAGACAGCACGGCCCCCAGCACTCCTGGCAGCCCCCCACTGTGGGCTCAGGCGAGGGGAGGTCCGAGAGACCAGGGTGGCCCAGCTTACTGCAGGCTGCAGAGGGTGCTGTGGGCAAGGAAGCTGGGTGGAAGGAGGTGACAGGACGGAGCCCTGTGGGGAAGGGACACCGAGGTTACCCAAAAGAGGTCTCTCCGGCAGGGCCTGAAGGAACTAATGTGATGTGGGAGCTGCAGGGTCACTTTTTGGCTGAAGCCGGTCTCTCTGGGTGGCACCCCCGCCTTGGCAGTGTGGGTCTTCTTTAGTGGGTTTTCCTCTAGTCTACCAGTGAGACCAGGGGGTTCCCAACCTGAAGACCGTCTCTAACTTTTCCCCCACAAGCTCCTCCCTCCCTAGGCCCTACCCACTCCTACTTGCCCCTCTGTGTGTCTCTCAGCTGACCCCTCTGGAGCCTCATACTCTGGTCTCCATCTCTCTGCACACCAGTCTCCTGTCCTCGGCCCTGAGCTCTGCTCCCCGCGCCACGACTGCTCCTGCTGGGTGGCAGCCCTCCGCCCGCCATGACCCCACAGTTGCGCATCAAAGCCACAGGGAGCGTTCTGATTGTGTCAGTTGGGCCAGATGGCTACCACCAGTCCAGCAAGCTGTGGGCAGAGGGCAACTTCAGCCCAGCCTTTCAGTGGGGACTGGGCGCACGATCTGGGCAGACACCATAGAAATTTCCACCTGCATCTTTCCTACCCTGGCCAGCCTAGGCCTTTATCCTCCAGCAGACTCTTTCTAGTATCCTACCCGCCACGGCCCACTCTGTCCACTCTGCCCGTTCACAGCACAAGACATCGTTGCTTCCCTCTGGGGACCCTCTGGGACCTCCCTGTTGCCTGTGGGGCCAGAACCTTGGGCAGAACCTTCCTAGTGACCCTTGCCAAGCCTGGTGACAAGCCACCTCTCCACTGCCCTCTGATCTCCCTTCTCCACTTTCCTCCTAGGACACCTCAGTGTTCTCCCTGATCCGAGCGCTGGGCCCAAGTCTCAGGGTGCTAGACTTATCCTCTTGCGTGGCCCTCACCAACCGGAGCCTGCAGGCCATCTGCACCTACCTCACTCCCCTCTCGGTCCTGCGCCTGGCCTGGTGCAAGGAGCTCCGTGACTGGGGGCTTCTGGGACTGGGGGAACCAAGTGAGGAGCCAGCACAGGGATCCCAGGTGTGGGACCCTCGAGGTCATGGAGGGTGGGGCGGTCCCTGGGTTCACCTGACCTCCTGCCCCTCCTGAGTCTCTTTCTCGGAACACTTGAGGGCCAAACTCAGGAGGGAGGAACCTGAGAAGCAGGGGCCTCTCCCCACAGCCACACCCAGAGCTGGAACATCAGGCCTCAGGCCCCGCAGCAGCCCCTTCTCCCCAGCCTCAGGGCCCCTCCTTGCTCATGCTGCGGGCCCTGCAGGAGTTGGACCTCACAGCCTGCAGCAAGCTGACAGACGCCAGCTTGGCAAAGGTGTGGGGCTGGGGGTGTGGGGAGGCTGAGGGGCCTGGGGCTGGAGCCGGGGCCTGGGCTGACCCACTACTTGCTTGGAAAAGTTTCTCACTGGCTTCTGCCGCCTGTGGCCTCTCCTTTAGCTGTGGGTGGGGGAACCTAGAAGAGCCCTGGGCTCCAGTACCATACAACACCCCATCCCGACACCCCCATCCTTGCAGGTGCTCCGGTTCCCCAGGCTGAGGCACTTGTCACTGAGCCTGTTGCCAGCACTCACAGACGAGGGCTTGGTGGCGGTGGCCAGAGGCTGCCCTAGCCTGGAGCGCTTGGCGCTGAGTCACTGCGGCCTCCTCAGCGATGAGGGCTGGGCCCAGGCGGCCAGCTCCTGGCCGAGGCTGCAGCACCTCAACCTGTCCAGCTGCAGTCAGCTCACAGAGCAGTGAGTGTGGCCGATGATGCCACAGCGCAAGGGCCGGGCGGGGGCCCCACGCTGGGCCAGGCACCCACACGGTGACCTCCCTGCAGGACACTGGATTCCATTGGGCAGGCATGCAAGCAGATCCAGATGTTAGATGTCGCCATGTGCCCTGGTATTAGCATGGCTGCTGTCAGGCGATTCCAAGCCCAACTGCCCCAGGTGACCTGCATCCAGTCACGCTTCGTGGGAGGGGCTGACCTGACCCTTACACTCTGAGACCAGGTGGGTAAGCAGCCCCTGTTGCTCAGCCTCCACAGTCCCTAGCCCTGGCTTTTGGACCTGGGGTTTCCCTCTGCTATGTGCAAGAGCCCCTTCCCCCAGCTGTAAATACCTTTGCTAGACCCGGAGGTGGGACTAGTCCAAGGAAGCCCAGGGTGCTTCCTACCCTGGTCTACCCCACAGCCTGGCGAGGGCTTCTTTCCAGCTCTGTGTGGCTGCCACAGGCACCTGCAAGTGCCCGTTCCCGCTCTGCTGGCCAAGCCCGGGTCCGGAAGCACCAGGCCTGTAGGTGGCAGGGCCCGGTGCTGGGGAGGAGCAGACCACCTGCCCTTTGCCCCGCCCACTTCTCCCACCTGAAGCCTGTGCCCCACCTTGCTCCCTATAGGAGCTCCTCTAGTCCCCCACCAGCACTGAACTTTAGCAGCCAAGCCAGCCTTTGTTGTAAACCCAAACGAGATTAAAAATTCCAGATTTTACCTCCTTATCTGAAGTTCTCAGACTGAAGAGCCCCTCCCTTCCCCTCCCCCCACCTCAGTTGAAGCAGCCCAGACCAACCCTGGGACGATGGGAGAAACACCGAGACAACTTCTTCCTCAGGCATGGCCGAAACCCTCCCAGAGTGGGAGACTCCAAAAGTCTCCCCCAGCATGAGCTCCCGGGCAGGTCCCGTAGCAAAGGGACATCTGTGTGCACTTGCCCAGCCAGACCCCAGGAACGTACTGATTGATGATGCCAGGGTCCGCAAGGCTGTCTTCAGAAAAAAGAGGACAGCGAATGGCATCTCTGGGTAGGAAGGGGCATTAGAGGTCATCTAGTCCAACCTCTTACACAGTACCAGTGCATTTTCAATAGCAGCTCTGAGAATGTCTCTGGCCCTCCGTACGTCCACCTACACTTTGTCCATCTGTCCATCAGTTCTAGGAGCAGCCAGCCGGGCTGCCTGATTGCCTGCTTCATGTGGGGATTCAGAGGGGACGAAGCCTGCCCAACCTCCGGGCCAGCTGGGGAGGCAGATCGGCCAGCAGGCAGGGCCAGCCCAGTGTGCAGGTGTGCACAAATGAGTAACAGGCACCTGGGACTGGGGGCCCAGGGGAGCAATGAACTTAGCCTGGGAGGTCAAGGAGGGACTGGAAGCCGGGAAAAAATGGGCAGAAGAGAGAGAAGAGGGCAGTCAGGCAGAAGGGACTGGAAGGTGCATGTGGCAGGCCAGAGCTGGTGCTGCAGGTGGGAGGGTCCAGGCCCCAGCACAGTGAGGGAGGGTGCCAGCATGGACCAGGCGCCGGGAATCCTGCAAGCCACAGGCACTCTGTTGGAAGACGTAAACTACATCTGCAGTCCATCTCAACTCTGTCCATCATGGCACCGTGACCATTGCCCCCTGGACAATAGGGAAACGCTGAAAAATGCAGGGCGGGGGTGGTATGTGTGACCAGATCAGCTCCACGTTTGAGAAAGCTGCTGCGGTAGCTGGTTGTTGAAAGGACTGGAGGCAGGAGGTCCGGAGGTTCCTGTCGAGAGGACGGTGGCCTGCACAAGAGCCTGGACCACTGAGAAGGAATATTGGGGGGCTTAACTGCATCTGGGATCCCCACCCCCATTTTCACCTTGAACTCAACTGCAGACTATTCCAAGTGTGGGGGGAGTCTCTGGGTACCTGAGTCAGAAGCACAGCTGGGGGAGGGCAAGCTCAGCGTTTCTCCAAAGGAAATGTCATTGCATCACTTTTCAAGGTAACATGTTGACGATTGAATTTGTTATAAAAGATATTTGAGGAGGCGATGGGAAGGAGGTAGCGAGAGACATGGAAAAGGGGGTCAGAGAGTGGTGGCAGCGCTCAGCCTGTCCTGTGGGTCCTGTGGGTGGGTCTGCTCCTCTTTGCCCCAGAGGCTTAGGGTCCATGACCTGTGAGTGTGACCTCCAGCCCGGCCCGATACCCCTAGCCAGTTCTGACCCCAGGGGCCCTGGCCTGCCTGTGGCCCCCATCCCACCCTCCTGCAGTGGGTTTTAATTAGAATTCAGGTTTCCTTCACCAAATTCCCTCTTCTCAGAATACCCTCCCACCACCTAAGGATGTCTTCTGGAATTTTAAGTCTGCCCTTCAGCACAAAGCAGGCCCAGCTCCATACCTCTCCCACCCGGCCTCTCACCGGAGGGCCTCCAAGTCTCGCAAAGGACACAGGGTGGGCCAAGCAGCGTTCGAGACTGAGCTCAGGCTGTCAGGAGCCTCTGGAAACACAGCCCCCCAACTAGACCCCTGTCAACACTGCCCAGGAGGGCATCCACTCGGGGCAATGCCTCCTGCCCTGCGGCTTCTCCCTCACCTGGCTGGTAGCACCAGCCCTCCCTCCCTTGGTTGGTGCCCCCCAAACACAGGCCACCCCTCTCTGCAGACCCAGCACTGAGGGGAGCTGAGGACTCACCCTGAGGAAGGACAACGGGGCCCCCCTCCAGAACACCAGCCCCTCAGCTGTAGCTGCTCAGGTTTGTGGCCCTGAGCTGTGGCCCTGGCCTGACGCCCCACATCTCATTTGCCAGCTAAGTGTGAAGGCGGCGTGGCCTACTGTGTGCACAGCTGGCTGGACACGTACCCAAGAGCCAAGCAGATTTATTTCTGCCGCAGCCTCTGCTGATCAGGGTATCTGCACTTCTCCACCCTTCACCCTTCACAGCCACCACAGTGGCAGCAGCTGTGGCCCTTAGCCAACCTGTCAAGGTTCAGCGATGCTGCAGTCATAGCAGAAGTTGAAGTTGGTGGGGGGCGGGGGGATAGGGGGTGGCTGCTCAGGGATGGGCACGTTCTCCAGCTCCAGCAAGCGCAGCTTGGTCTCCATGGTCAGCAGCTGCTCCAGGTCTAGCCGTGTCTGCTCACTGCCCATGGGACTGCCCAGCAGGGTGCTCAGCCCATCTGTCCACAGGTGGAACTGGGGATGCAGCCAGCACCATGAGAGGCTGCCGGTCCCTTCCCCTGCCCGTCTGCCCACATCAGCTCTGTCTGCCCAGACACTCACCTCCCGTTTGGAGGGGGCAATGAAGTTGAGGTACGCCTCCTCCTCCCCATGGTCGTAGCAGACTGAGAAAGCTAACTCGTAGAGGTCCTGGGGAGGCAAGGGAACCAGGAGCACTGAGCAGGAGGCCGGGCAGGGCAGGGGGGAAGGAGCCCAGGTCCCTACTGGCCTCACCTTGTTCTGCTTCATGGAGCCCTTGTCCCGGATGTGCGGGCAGTCCCTGCCGGTCAGTAGTGCCCTGATGTCAGCCACAGGGACTGCAGGAAGAAGCTGGGCTGACCACGGGGGCCCCGGGTATCCCAGGGCATGGGTGGTCTGGGAAAGCAGGTGTCCGACCCCTGCCCCTGCCCTCCTTACGCTGCTCTGAGAGGCTCTCCGGGGCAGGCGGACTGGCACCGTCCTCCACGTCCCCGTACTGCAGCACCTTGTGGTTGGGGGACAGGCAGCAGAACCACAGCTTGTCTGGGCAGCAAGGGGAAGAGGGAAGGAAAGATGAGAGGGGCCCTGACCCCAAGCCAGCCGCCCTCTGTCCCCCTGCCCACTGAACAACCCTGGCGCCTCCGGCTGCTGATCTTGCGGAAGAGTGTCCCCTCGCAGAGGCGGAGCAGACGCTGCTGGCGGATCAGGCCCAGGAGCTCCGGCTTCAGCTTCTCCCGAAGCTCCCTGGTTGGCAGGGGAGGGTTGCTGACAGGACTGACCTGGGGCAAGGCCCATGGGTCACCAGGGAAAGCAGGGTCTGGGGCTGGACCCATCGCCGCCACTCACAGTATGGGAGGGGCCAGCGTGCCCTCCTGATGCAGGCGCTCCGTCTGCCTCAGTCGCAGCACCTCCCCGTAGTTGAGCGCGTTCACCTTGGTTCGGAAGAGCTCCAGGGAGCTGGGCTTCAGGGCCAGCGTGCGGGCCAGCTGCTCCCGGACCACTTGCATGACCTGGGGCCACCCCGGGCTCAGTTCAGGGTCTGAGCTCTGGGCCCCTCCTGGCACAGCCCCCTGCCGTGGCCGAGGGCTCCCGGCTCCCACCCACCCACCTTGTCAAAGTCCTCCTGTGTGGCCCGCATCTCCTTCCAGGTCTTATTCAGCAGCTGGATGCTCACACAGAAGAGCTCATGGAAGCTCTGGTCTTGGCCGAAGAACATGGGTGAAAAGTCCTGGGCCGTTTCGGAGCCTGGAGCAGGGGGGCAGGAGGGGCTCAGGGAGAAAGTATGTAAAGCCCCTGGCCCTCTCTGCCCTTCCGTCCCCTGTTCCCAGACACACTGCCCAGTCCCACTCACAGGGCTCCCCAACGTGGAGCAGCTCACACAGCAGCACGGTCAGCTGGATACTGCTCCGGGCAAAGGGGCACTCGTGCTTGTCCTCGCGGCTGCTGTTCTCCAACACAAACTGGGGTGGCGGCAGCGGAGAGCAGAGTGGGGCGTCACAGCTCGGCCCATGGGAACCCTCACAGGCAGGCGTCCTGCTCTGCCCACCCCTCCCCAACACTGACCCGGCTGTAGGCATTGGGTGCGTGTCTGGAGAAGTAGAGCATGTTGTCCAGGGCCAGCAGGCCGGGGGGCACGCGCTCTAGGTCTTGCGCGGGGTTGCTATTCTAGAGGAAGGGGGACAGGCAGCTGAGGCGGGGGCCCCGCCCTCCGGAACAACAGCAGTCCTGGGTTGAGGTAGGGATGGGTGGGGAGCTCGGGGAGGGTCACTCACGGAGAAGCCCAGTTTGCGGAACTCGCGGGCACAGAGGGAACGGCGACGGTCGGCACTCAGCCCAGCACTGGGGGACTCCCCTTCCAGTTCAAAGGCAGCCTGGCGCAGGGCCTGCAGCTGGTCCCGCTGATCCTGGGGTCACCATTTGGGGGAGGGGAGGAGTCACATCAGATTCAAGGCCAAGGTCCAGCTGCCCCCAGCCTGTGTACCCCAAAGGCACCCACCTGGCTGTAGGGGTCCAGTGGTGTCCGCATGCGCGGCTCCAGCAGCCCCAGTGTAAGGGACTGCAGCACGTACAAGTGGTGAGCCATCTCGTCGCCCATTGGCACTGCGCTGTGGATGATGTTCTGGAGGACAGCCAGCCCACGAGTGTGAGCTCGGGCTCACCAGGAGAGGAGAAATGGGGGGTGGGGTCCACCTGGCCCAGTGCCTCGTACCTTGTAGATGAACGGGCGAAGGTTTCTCTGCCACAGTTTGTCAAGCATTTGCTGAGGGTGGGTGGGAAGGGGGCTTAGATAATGTGACCCTACCACGAGCACCAACCCTGTAGGCCCAGGGCGGAACATAGTGCTCACCGGCTCCTGCCCCTCGTCCACCTCCCAGATGGACACCCACCTTACGGTCAGTGGGGCTGGCCCCCTGCAGCAAGGCCGTCAGCAGTGCCATGGCCTTGGTTTGCAGCTGCTGGTTCATCCTGGGATGAGAAGAGGGCTCAACGGGCCATCCAGGATCTGGCTGTGCTCCCTTCGTCTGCACCCCACCCCGGGAGACTTACACCTGTAGGTGCACCAGCAGCCTGTCCAGTGTAACCTCATTTTTGACCAGCTGGCCCAGGACAGGGCTGCTCAAGGTCACACTCTCCAGCAACCTGAGGGCCAGCGGCTGCACAGATGCATCCATCAGGTTCATGTTCACATAGCACACCACCTGTAGGGGGGCAAGGGTCGTCACCACCTGACCGGCATGGGTGGCCAGATCCTAACACCACCCCACTGCCCCGACCTGCTGTCCCTAGGAAAGCCCACCCACCTTCCTAACAAAGGGGATAGTGAGCGTCTCCCAGGACACCACGCCGTGCTCCATGAGCTCCAAGAAGGCCTGCAGTGCGAGGGCCAGCACCTCCCCTAGGCTGGGGGGACATCTGGGGCTGAGCAGGGCCCGGATCAGGACCCCCAGCCCCACCACATCCACCACCAACCACAGCCCAATGCTCACTCGTCCCCTTCCTCAATGATGGTGCCTAGCCTCTTTAGCCCATCACGGCTGATGACCTCCTGGGCAAAGGTCATGTCGGAGGCCAGTAGGGCGAGGTGCTGCAGGGCTTCCCGGCGCCCTTCATGACTCCCGCTCTGCAGCCTACCCAAGAGCTGCTCAGCCTCAAGGTCCTGGCAGGGGCAGGAGCAGAAGCAAAGGTGAGTGAGGAGGATGGGCGGAGGCAAGGAGTGAGGACTGAGGTGTGGGGACCATGGTGTCCACCAGGTGGAGCACTGCAGGGATGTGACTGGAGCCTCCAGACCTGGGGCACAGGCTTAGGGGGACAGAAAGGAGGCAAGGGCAGTGGGGCAGGGAATGAGGGTGGGCCAGGAGAGGCTTTACTGGGGCAGTGCTGAGGCACAGGATGCTGCCATTCTTGATCTCTGAGCGGTTCTGGAGAAGACAGCAGAAGAGGGAGAGAGAAATCAGGAAGGGCCCTGAGGGTTGGTGAACTGGGGTTGTAAACGAGGGAGGATTGGGAACACGGTGAAAGATCACATTCCAGTAGGGTGAGGAGTGGGAGGAATCGCGGCCGGAATCAGAAATTGGAAGGGTCTAAAGAGCAGTGGGCACTCACATTCTCAGTGATGTATCTCCTGCTGCCATCGGCAAACTGCAGGGCGTAGCGTTCAGAGTGAGCCAGGCTCCACCTGTAGGCAGAGGAGGCTCGGTGAGGCAGGTAGGGCGCGCCCCCTCCCGCCCGCCTTTCCCCCACCCCCTGGCCTGACAGGCCGGCACTCACGCGTCGCACACCTCCTTCAGCACAGCGGCCAGGGGCTTTGCCTGCAAGTGAAGAGGTCACTCACGAGGCCAGGAGGAAAGAGTTGGGGAAGAACCTGGGAAGGGGTAGGGTGGGCTGTTGTAAGGGGAAGGGGGCGACCCAGAGGTGGGCTAGGGTGGATGTTGGCCGGACTGGCCGGGTGACCTGGTCCAGCTGGATGAGCTGAGGGATGGCATCACGCTTCTGAACGGCGATCTTCACCACGTCCCTTGGGGGCGCCATGGTCAAGCTGGGGCGGGCGCCTTTGCCTTCTAAACCGAGCAACCTCCTGGGGAGGGGCACCTGCTCTGGGCCCCTGGGGACAATGAGGGTGTCCCTCTGTCCGTAACCTGACGCCGGTGGCCCGCACTCACTGCCCAGGCTCCCACACCTGGCGAGGCGCTCCGTCCTTCCCGAGGGAGCCGAGGCCAGTTCCGGGTTGGCGTCCCGGAGATAGGAGAATGGCACCTCCCCCGCCCCGCCCCGCCCCGCCCCGCAGAGGCCCCGCCCCACCCAAAGGTGAGGCAGGTGGGGGCGGGAAGGGAAGGGAGGGCTGCCGCGCTGCCACACCTCTGACTCCAGCAAAGATGACCCACCCAATCCCACCACCAATCCAGCAGTCCCAGGGAGGCACCCCTCCCGCAAAGAACCAGACCAGAGATAGCCTTAGGCATGATCTTTATTCACTTGGACACTGTACAAATATTACAACTTCCTTTTGCTGCAAAAAGTATAAAAATAATCTTTATATAGGAATCCATTCATTACGGCAAATCTTTCTAAATCTCCGCAAATGGCTCTAAATGAGGGTAAATGAATAAACAAGAGAAGGACTATGGGGCAGCAGGAGGTTGGGCCAATCCTCGGGGACTCACCTGCCCAGACTCCTAGCTAGAGACCTCTGTTTCTTCCTGTTTGCACCCCCTACCACCACCTACAGGTTGTCAGGGCTAAGGGTCAGGCAGAAGGGGGACAGAAGACCAGGAGCTTTAGGGTCAAGAAAGGGGTGGGGAGAAGTGAAGGAGCCTAGAAGTGGTGCTGGCAAGTGGCAGACTCCACCCCAGCTTCCCTCCTGGGAGGGGGAGGAGCTAGCAGGAACAGGGCAGTGGGGGTTGGACAAGCTGCTCTATGGAGTTTACTGGGTCCTCATTCTGTGACACTGGGTGGCAGCAGAGCCTGGGCTCAGGGAGGGGACAGGGAGGACACAAGGTGGGGGAAGGCTCCAGAAAAGGACAGGCAAATATTTTGGCGCCACCATGGAGGGAGCTGAGGCCCTTTCTCCCGCTCTCCCAGCACAACACAGGTGCCGGTGCAGGAGTGGGAGCCGTGGCCGGAACTGCAGTGAGGGAAGGCTGGGGGGGCCAGGAGTCTGTGGCTCTCAAGCTGTGGAGGGGTGAGGTGTGGAGGTCCCCAAGCAGCCCTCAGGTTAGACAGTCTGTGTCCCAGCCACACAGGGCGTCCCCATCAGTCAGAGGTTGAGAACAGGCACGTCAAAGAGGTCACAGACACCTTCACTCTCATCCAGGTTGTAGATGTAATCATGGTCTCCGGGGGGTGGAGAAAGGCGGAGAAGGGGGGCAAACACTGCGGAGAGTACCAGACTGAGGCTGGGGCCAAGGCCCTACCCAACAGCTGCCCAACCCCCTGTCCACACCCACGCCCCACCTCCCTCGGCCACCCACCTTCCGAGGTCATCAGCTCCTCCAGCAGCTCTGAGCTCATGCACTCTGCAGAAGGAGAAAGAGCTCGGTTACATTTCTGGCTCCTGCTTCTCCACCCACTAGGGCCCATGAAGGGAACCCCCCAATCAGGAACCTTTACACTTTGTCCAGGTACCGACCACAACCATAGGTCCCAGAAGGGCAAGAAAACTGCTGTAAGACCCAGCAAACTGTGCCCATACCCTAGCCCTAAGGAGAAACATAGCCCTACCTCGTGTGGGATCAAAGATTTCGGACAGCTCTTTGGGGAGTTCCAAAACTGAAAGACAAGAAAATCATGCTCAAGGGCACAGAGGTTCAGCTCGGCCCCACTGGAGTCCCCAGCCTCTTCAGATCCTATAATACCCACTCGGGGGTTTCACAGGCTGAAGAGATGGAGGCCCTGCCCCAAGCCAAATTGGCACTGTCTGTCAATCACCCTTGCTGACCCAAATGCCTGTGTCGAGCCCAAGGTACCAAAGGCTCATTGCAGATGGTACAGCCTTTCTAACTCAGAAGTGCTGCAGAAGGGCAAGCAGAACCCTTCCTTTATGAGCTCAGCATGCATACCCTGAGTGATGGAGGATGCCCTGCCTGATGCAGGATGCCCTGAGTGATGCAGGATGCCCTGCCTGAAGAATACCCCGTCCACCCCCACCCTTACTGGGCACTTCCTCGGTGGCAGGCTCAGACACCACATCTGAGCAGGGTTACCTAGCAGGGGAGGAGGCAGACACTTCAACAGGGGCTAGTGCTACAGAGTGACAGCCCTGCCACAAAGGTCTGACTGGGAGGATGTACATGTAAAGCAGGACAAAAGGAAGCTGGAGAGGAGTGCTGTGCTGGGGCTGGATCACAAGGGATGTCCTATGCTGGGCTACAAGGCTCTGGTTTTACCCAGCAGGCCTTAGGAAGCCAGGAAAGGTACTTTTGTAAACAGAAATGCCAGGCAGGCTGTGCTTCGGACATTATCGACTGAGGTAACGAGGATGCTGAAGAATTTATGCCAGAGGTGGCCGGCAGATCCCGAGTGTGAGGATATGACAGATGTCTGGAACAGAACTCACTCAGCAGATGTGATGTGGGAGGAGAAGAAGGAGGGAGGAGCTGGGACTGGAAAAGCAAGTGCGGTTGAGAACACGTGGGAATGGAGAGCCCACTGGATGTGCGGAAGAAGGCACGTGGACATTAAGTGTGGGGTCCAGGAGAAATACCTGAGCAAGATGGAGCCTAGGGGTTCATCTAGCCCTCTGCAGGTGTGGCATGGGACAGAGACCTGGGAAGTGTCTATGTTTAAGGAAGCGCCAGGAAGAGGTCAAAAGGGAAGCCAGTGAGAGAAGGGCCAAGAGCTGGCATTGTTAGAGCCAAAAGAGAAAAAAGCATCAGTACGGAGCAAGAGGCCGTCAGAGCACAGCAGCCTCGAAACCCGCTGGGGCTGACAGTCAGGGTTGGGCAACTTCCCAAGAGCATGGGGGGGTGGGGAGGGGTGCAGGGGTCCTGACTGCTGCAAGCAGGGGGTGACTAGGAGATCAAGATATGAAGTGGAGTGGAGATGACTTTCTCAGAGTCCAGAAAGAGAGGAGACAGGGAAAGTAAGAGAGGGAGACAGAGGGGACAAAGCATCGTTTAGCGAGAGAGCAGTGCCTATAGGCTGGGGAGGAGGAGTCCTGGGAAAGGAACACTCGAGTTGCCAGATAGAGACGGGACTCCAGCGAGAAAATGCCGCCTCTCCCGGGAAGGGCTGCTGTCTTTGGGGCCTGAGGGCTACACCACAGCCCCTTCCCCGAGAGAGTGCTTTCACCTTCCTGAGACCCGAGTCGAAGGGTGGCAGGCAGGGTCTGAGGCAGGGCCAGGGAATCTTGTGACAGACCAGTAAGGGGGACAAACAGGCGCCAGCACTGAATCTGGAGGCTGAGCTCCCCGTTCCGGCTGGCCGAGCTCTGGTCTAGGCAAGGTGGACAGCAAGGGCTGGCCCTCATGCTGGCCAGCTCTGGCTGAGGACTTAGGACAGCTGAGTTCCCAGACCCAGTTCTGTTTCTGACCTCAGACTGGCTAAGGCTGGGTTTTCCCAGTGGGACAAGTACTCACCGCCTGTGGGGTCTGCCTTGATGGGCTCAAAGGAGGTAGAAGGGTTGGGTCCAGATGAACTGCTATTGCTGCTGCTACTGCTGCTGCTGCTGCTGCTACTGCTGCTGTCCAGCAGGGCAGACGACTGCAGTGGCCGGGTGTCCAGTGCTGTCGGGCCCAGTGGGAGTGAGCTGAGCTCACCACTGTCCTTGCTATCGGTTTCAGGGCCGCCACTCACTGCAACCACATGCCCCAAACCCAGTCACTTGGGGGCAGGAAGTGGGATATCATAGCTGGCTGTGACAGGACACATGGCCAGGATGCCTACAGCCCTGGCTCCCAGGCCCTAGGACAGTTAGGCACTGCCAGTTCCCCCTGAAGAGGTGGCCTGGAAATGAGGCACCGAAGGAGACAGGGGCACCAGGCCTGTAAGAGCGGGGCACTCACGGACAACATGGAAGCTGTGACCACCCTTCCAGAAGGGCTGTTGGGGCAAGTGAGACATAGGTGGGTCTGGGGGGAAAACTGCCACCACTAATGCCCCTCCACTCAGTCAGAGATTCCCTGTTAAAGAGGGCTCCCTTGTCACAGCGAGGGGAGGTCAGCTGGGGGCCAGAAAAAGGACAATCCCCACAGGGTCTCTGCCAGCTCCGAGTACATAGCATCCCACAACCCAGGGATATTGCCCCTTGGGTCCCAGAGATCACTCTGTCACCAGATGCTCATCATGTCTCACCTGTGATCTCAGCTGCCGGACTGGCCATCTCCTGGGCTTCAGTGCTGCCAGGGACACAGGTGCTGGTGGTCACCTGGGGACTGCTTGGGTGTGAGGCATCCTGGGGCAGGGCCACCGCAGGTTTGGGCAGAGGCGGAGGAGTAGAGACAGCAGGTGGGCTCTGGAGCAGATCTTCAGGCGGCGGCACAGGCACCGCCACAGGCGGTGAGCTCCATGCCTCCTTGTTCACCAGCAGCACCTCGATGGGCCCACTCACACTCTTCAAATGAATCTGGTACTTCTTCTGCCCATTGAGGCCCTGGGGTGTGGGACAGAGGACGGAGGGCAGGTGGAACTGGAAGCAGGTTTGCCTCCTGCCTCACATGAGCCAGTGTCCTCTCCCACTCCAGGCTGCCCATCCTCCTAGATAACCCAAAAGCTCAGGCCTCCCCCTACCCGCCCCACCCTGGACTTATCAGGCTCCACAGCCAGCATCCACCCTCAACCAACTCTGCCTGCCTGAGATGAGCACCCACCTCTGGGATGGGCACCTCCAGGCTGGTGCCAGACGGAGCCCGGATGGCCAGGAGGGTGTCTCCTAGAATATCAAGGAGGATGGGTCAGGGCCCAGGGGCTCAATCTGAGCTGAGAATGGGGGTTCCTGTCCCTTGGAGCAAGGAAGGACATTACGGTCTTTGAGGGCCCAGACAGTAGGCCTCACCCATCCCCCACAATGGCTTGAACAGAGAACTAGAGCCTTTCTCCTTCCAAGGACCCAAGGGTCTGTAACCAGAAAATCCGGATTCAAACATGTGGAACAAAAAGTTGCTGGCCATGGGCATCACACATCCTCAGCTGAGGGCTGCTCCCTAGGTGTAGGTGTTCTGGCCAAGGCCAACATCCCTTCCCCAGGACGGGTCTGAGGGATGAAAGATGGAAAACGGACTGTTCCTGTATCCATAATGCAACTAAACTAACTACAGGTTGGAAGTGGGCATCGTTGCCCCCTGGATACAAGCACGCACGAACGCATGAACGAGGATGCAGAGGCCAAACCCAAGGGTAGGCAGGGAAGGGACCGACCCAGGAACTCAGTCCAAGATTCTTATATCCTCTCAGTATGTTTAGTCTCCACAGGGTCCCGGGGACCCTCAGATCCAGAACTTACCCTGCCTGATTCCTCTTTACAAAGGCCTCAGGAACTCTCTTAAGAGATGGAACTCTCTTTGGATACCGAACCCACTGCTCAGGACTGTGGCTCAGCCCAGCCCCTCCCCATCTCCCCCCACTCAGGCTCTGCTCACCAGCAAAGCATCTGCAGATGTCCTCATGAGTCACGTAGGCCAAGGTGTGGGGGTTAAGGAGAACGACTGATGCCCTGCCTACAGCGACAGACGGTAGATCACAGAGAAGACCAAGCTCTTTAACAGATATCTAACACACAAACGCTCAGAGAAGGTCCTGGGATGGGGGTCCAGATGGAGAGGGATCACAGGTAGGGGAGGGGCTCTAAAGAGAAGCAGGAAGCTGGGACCTGGCCAAGAGCTGCAGGACCAGCCTCTCAAGAGGGACAGGGCCCAGAGCACCACACAGCAAACCCAGATGGACCAGAGGGCCCCTCGCCCACACCCCAGGAGCAGGGACTGCCAGGAGGATATCAGCTGTTCTGCACGTCCTCAGTGACATTCCGGATGCTCTGCTGCACCCACACCTTGTGCTGGTCCAGTTCTTGCTCTCGCTGCTGCAGCTCCTCGATCTCTGCCTTGAGCTCAATCAGCTTGTCCGCAATCTCCCGGGTATTGCAGCCAGGCCCCACGCCCCTGAACCCAGGGAGTGGGGCTGAGAGGGGCTGCCAGAAACTCTGCGTCTCATGGTCCCTGCTCTCTCCTGCACCCCCCACCCCCCCACCCCACACTTCTGGGGAAGGGATCCCATTACCCTCCCAGGTGCCCTCACTCACTTCCACTGGATGCTATTCTTGGATTTTTTCTCGATCAGCCCAATACCTTCCAGCACGTTGGTAATGTCGTAAATCCGCCGTTTCTGGCGCACAGCTAGGGTGTCAGCTGCCTGGCAGAGAGAACAGAGAACAGGTTGCTCAGTCCCACTCTCAGGTGTACCCTCAGATACCCTGAGACTTGGTCTGCAGGAGTCTGAAAAGGCGATGGACAGTCCCAACGCTCCTCCCAGCCATTACAATAGCGCAGGACCCCAGGGCGGAAAAAGGTCTGGCTCAGGCTGAACTGATGTTCTGTTGCTCTTTTCCCCGGGCAGGGAGGGCCACGAGGATCTGCACCTGCAGCTCCGACACTGGCACACAGCTGACACCCAATTTCCTCAGCTGAATGGATTAAACTGCTCCCGGCCTCCCATTTGTGAGAAAGCACACGGATGGCGGCCTATTCTCTGAGGGCTTCGCTGGGCCGCCCCGGGGGTTCCCGCTACCTGCCCAGGCCTGTTCCACCATCCCCCCTATTGCCCCTTAGCCCGGGGCGCACCAGCTTGAGGTCAAGCACGCCGTCCTTGGCCTCCTGCAGAAGCGACACGAACTTGGTTGTGAGAAGTCCCAAACTCTTCTCGTGCCGGCTTGGGGTGCCCGGGGGCGGCGGCGCCTGTGGCCCGGCCTCCGCCATCGCGCCCGCCCGCCGCCTCCCCTCTGCCAGGCCAGGCCAGGCCGGCGCCGCCGCCACTTCCGCTTCCGTTCCTCACCGCCAGCCGCCGGCGCCAGCGTCGCTGCTTCCGCTTCCTCCCCGCTCTCTCCTAGGGAACCCGGAACAATTCCTCTCTGCGGACATGGCCGCAAAACTTCGGGGACTATCAGCAAATGTTCAACCGCCAAAAAGGACGAAAACAACTCAGGGATCCCGAGAGACGGAACATGATGCAAATATTGTGGAGGAAGTCGATGCCAGCCCGGCAGTAGAGAAACGGGAGTCACTGAAACCTTCCTGGATGGCCAGCCTGCCCCAACACCACTAACTCTGCCCTAGCCCCCCTGTCGGGAGAGGGGACCACACTGCCAGATGAAGCCCTTGTGTTTCCCCAATCCTGCTCCTATAAGCTACCCCGCTGTCTTGAGGTCACCTACCCTATTATCGCACTTCACTTTCAGCCAAACAGTAAGCACTAACTACATCTAGCTTGTCCTCTGGTCTGCAACCTCGGCCTAGTCTTTCCCCAGCCTAGTCTTTCTCTTGTCTCCACACTGCAGTGCTCAGGGGCCATGGAATTAGAACCACTTTTCAGCCAATGCAAACATGTTCACCGATGCACAAATATATGTAAAGCACTTAGAGCAGTTCTTAGTGTGTAGGAAATAATATGTCTTTGCTGGTATCATTTTGTTATTTTTAACATTTTTGTTATCATTGTTGATTTTTGGTCAAGTTCTCTGGGAAACAGACTTTGACACAGGGATCTGCCTGCAGGAAGTTTATTGAAAAATCCACACTTGTAAGACAAGCAGAATTGGACAGAGAAGGGTTTAAACTGCAATGCAGTTATAATAGAGGCCTCTCGCTGGCCAGTGGAACTCCAGCCAGACTTGCCAGGGAGGACCCAACCCCACCATCCCCATCCTTCTGGCCACATCCCTCCCTCATCCCACCCAGAAGGCTCATACCAGGAGGAAGTGCTGGCTGCGCTTTGTCCTTGACTGTGGAGTCTACTTTAGGGCCCAGAGAAGCCAGAACCCAGCCCATCCTACTAGGAGTTGTGAAACTAGGGTGGCCCTTCTGAGATATTCCACATCCAGGAAAGGGTGCTGGGCCTTTGCAACTCAATACTGACTGAGAGACAGTTGTGAGACCTCAGCAGCCCACACACGTGGTAGCTAGGGGAGCAAGTGTCTTTGACATGATTTGGGTGGTAACTACCTGGTATTGCCTTCCATGGCCCCCTTTAACTCTCAAGATAAACTTCTTTCATAGCCCTTGAACCTCTCCTGCCATCACCCACCACACACAAGAGTCTTTGCAGCAGCCTGTGATCCCTCACTGCTCTGCAAGGCACACACCCTTCTCTGAGGGGCCTGTCAGTTTTCATGCTGTGACGTTGTCTGCATCCATATTTGCACACCCCACTCCCCACAGCAGGTTGGGACCATCTAGTTCATGTCTGTTCTGAGCGCTAAGACGTCCTGGGTAGAATGGCCAAGACTTAACAATCACAGGGAGTACAGATCCTCCTTCCCCCAAGGAAGTGGGGCCCAGCCCTCCCTGCCCCTTCCCACAGTGCAGATGCTCTTTCCTGTTGGGAATAAAATGCAGGAGACTCAGCTTCCTTCCTTCCTGCACGTGGCCTTGGGCGGGGAGGGACCTTGGAGGGAGGAGGGGGCCCCTGGGCAGGGAGGTGGGACAGAAGCTTCCTTGGGAAGAGGAATTCTGCTGCATGCTGAGGTGTGGGCCAGAGCCACCCAAGCCCTGTGAGCCAGCGGAGGGAGTGCCCAGCTCTGCTGTGAGCTCCGGGGGAGAGTGCCATCCTCAAGGCCAGCGCTGTTTGCGGAGGAGGGAGAACTGGATGCCTGGTCAAGCCTGGTGAGTTCCATACCAAACTGTCTTCTGCAACTAAGAGCAAAAGAGGGGTCCAGTGGAGACCTGTGCCTACCTTCCTCACTTGACTTCAGGGGCGAAACTGAGAAACCCAGCAAGGGAGGCTTCCCAGGTGCCTCCCCATCACACCCACGTCCCTCTCATTTCCTGAGGATCCTGGGCAGGAGCCTCCCACCTCCTTCTCACAGAGGCCTAGACAGAGCCTGCAGCTCAAAGGAGGATCCACTCTACCTGCTGTAACCCAGACCCTTGCCCAGACCCTCATCTTGGCTCTGGCTCCTCCAGGGCCTAAAGTGGACTCCACAGCTAAGGACAAAATGCAGCCGGCCCTTCCTCCTGGTATGAGCCCTTCTGGGTGGGTTAGGGGAGGGATGTGACCAGAAAGATGGGGACGGTGGGGTTGGGTCCTCCCTGCCAGGTCTGGCTGGAGTTCTATCAGTCAGCAAGAGAGGTAGACTGCCCTGGGGGCCAGACTGAGGAGCAGGAAGGGGAGCGGGGTCAGCAGCCGCTTCCCTCAGGCCCTGCCCAACTGACATGGCTGCCCAGGCTCTTCCTGCCCAGGGCCCGAGTGGCCAGAGCAGGAGAGGGCAGAGAGGCTGGCCCGAGGTGCAGCACTCAAATGGGCCTCAGGAATCTTCTACCGGCCAGAGCAGCTGGCCAGGCTGGGCCAGTACCGCAGACGTGAGGTTCAGCGTACCTGCTCCCTGGAAACGCGCATCAAGGTGGGCCTCAGGCTGGGGCAGGAGTACTGGGGTGGGTGGCAGAACAGGCCAGAGCTCACTATCTCCCTCCCTTCCGTAGTCAGTGGTGCAGTCATACCTGGAAGGTGTGAAGACTGGTGTGTGTCAACTGGCCCAGGCCCTTGAGGCCCTGCAAGGAGCACGTGAGGCCCTGGGTCAGACTCATGGGCTGTTCCAGGTTATGGCCGAGGCTGCACAGACTCTAGAGCCCTTGCGGGAGCAGTTTGCCCAGCACAGGCAACTGCAGGCTCTGTCTCAGCTGCTGCCCCGGCTGCGAGCAGGTGAGTGTGCAGGGGCCCTGGGCTTCGGCCCTTCGGCGGTTAGTCAATAAACGCTCGTCAAGGGGCTGCGGCACTAGGAGAGATTACACGGAGGGACACACCAGGACCTCCCAGAGAGTAACTCAGGCTTCCGATGGCATAAAAAGCAGGGTGCAGATTAGCTCACTCTGGGGTTCCTGAGCAAGGAATGTCTGGGCCAGGACTGACACCCAATCAAGTGCCTCTGGCTGCTACCCTGGTTGTTAAATTGAAATATTTTCCTAACAGGGAGCGTGAATAGCCACTAGGATGGCCCTCAAGTTCCTCCCTGCCTTCCCTCCAGGATCCCTGACTTCCTTATGCTCCATCCACTCAAGGGTTTACACTAGGACCTTTCCTGCTGCTTTCAGATCAGCCACCGCTCTACTGTATTGGTTATTTTTTAATTCTTTTTAATCTAAGACTAAATAACCTACTGGAAGTCTACTGTGCTGGCTATTAAATACTTTACATCACCGCAGCCCCAGGGCTCAGATCTGATCCTGTACCTATTGGACAGGTGGGAAGGCTGAGATCCAGGGCTGTCATCTCTGCTCCCTCCTTAGTGCCGGCTGCAGTGGTCCACACACAGACCCTGATTGATGCCCATCAGCTCTTGGAGGCATACGTGAGCCTTCGGGAGCTGGAGCAGCTGCAAGAGGAGACGTGGGCATCTCTGGGGGGCCTGGAGTTGCCGGTCTTCGAGGGACTGGGCCCCCTGGCTGAGGCACTGGGCCAGGCTGTGGAGATGGCTGTAGGGGCCGCAGGGCAGCTGGCACGGGAGGATCCAACCCTGTTGGTGGCTGCTGTGCGTGTGGCGGAGGTGGAGGCCAGCCGTACAACCTCCCTTGAGCAGGCCCCCCGGGACTGGCGACAGCGCTGTCTGCGGGCACTAGAAAAGGGCCTAGAGCAGGTCCACTTTGGGACACCTCTGCTGCCTGAACCAGGGGCCCTAGCAGGGTGGCTGGAGGCTCTGCAGGTGGCTCTACCAGCTGAACTGGCCACAGCCGAGGCACTGATAGCACCCTGCTGCCCACCACACTACAAGGTGGTACAGCTGTGGGCCCATACGCTGCACAGTGGCCTGCGTCGCTGCCTGCAGCAGTTCCTGGAAGGGCCTGAGCTGGGAGCCAATGATGCCTTCACCTTGCTGCACTGGGCACTGCATGTGTACCCGGGGTCAGTGCCTTTGGGGCAATGGGAAGTGGGTGGATCAGAAGCTGGGGGCTCAGTGTGACATTGGACTACTCATCGCCAGGCCAGAAATGATGGGGAGTCTGGAACTGGGGCCTGAGGCTGATGTGTCTCAGCTGGAACCCCTACTGACCCTGGAGAATATTGAGCAGCTAGAGGCAACATTTGTATCCAAAGTCCGGGTGAGTAGTTGGGGTCCAGGTCCAGAGGAGCTCTGCCACCGCTGTGTGACTGCATCTGTACAGTCATATGTTTACCTGCCTCTAACAGGGCCGGTGACCTGCTATGCCCTGCTACACTTTGCCACCCCTCATCTCTTCCCCCAGGCAAATGTGGTGCAGTGGCTGCAGAAGGCCCTGGAGGGGGAGATAGCTGAGTGGGGGCGGGAGCAGGAGCCTGACACAGACCTGTCTGGCTTCTACTACTCACCAATGCCAGCCATCGTGCTGCAGGTGAGTGGGAGGTGGCAGCCAGGTGGGCTGCCCTTTTAAAAAATGGGGGGTGGGCGTGGAGTGGAGGGCAGGACTAGGACTCTACTGATGGCTGCCCATCCCTGCCTGCAGATCCTGGAAGAGAACATTCGAGTGGCCAGCCTGGTCAGTGAGTCACTGCAGCGGCGGGTGCATGGCATGGCACTGTCAGAACTGGAAACATTCTTGAGGAGGTCTGCCAAGGCACTGGCCCACCCCCCACCTCGCCCTGCTCCTGGGACAGCCCAGGCGGGCTCTGAGTGAATAAGGCATATCAGTGGGAAAGGCTCCTCCAAACAGTGTCTTGGGTATCTTGGAGGTGGGGCCAGAGTACTCGGGGGACAGGGATTGTTGGGGGACCAAAGTGACAGCAAGTGCAGGAGCCACCTCTGCCCTTTGCAGCTTCATTGATGCTCTGATCCGATTCTCCCGGGACCATCTGAGAAGGGA